GATGGTTGAAATGTAGGATAGCAATTTGCTAATCATATTATGCCTTTGGAAAGTGCTATGGAACTATGTATGCTGAAATTTATGGAACTATATATGCTGATATATGTGTGTGTGTGTGTGTGTGTGTGTACTGTCAAGTTTTTCGTCCAAAGATAGCAGACTATGGGAGCTTTGAATTAGGCATTTACTAACGTGAAGATATAACCATGACTCTGGTCATTTGCCAACAAATGTTTATTATTATTATTATTATTATTTTAGGGGTTAGAAGTTAGTTGTTAGAGGAAAAAAAGTGCAAGACTCAATCACGGGCTTCAAGATACGGGAAGCAATTCGACCACTCGGGCAATATGATACTTCTATTAAAATATAACAAGAGATCATATAACTTGTTATATTTTAAAAAACTTGTTATATTTTAAGAAGGGTGAAGAACAATCTCATTATAGAATCAATGACTCTTTTTAGTGAGTTGTGAGTAAATTGCACTGGGAACTAAGTCATGTAATTTTTCTCAATATGTATTGCTCTCACACTCTTACTTTGTTCTCATTATTGTGATTTAATTTTGACGTTTTTGCGTGCTTGTTCTCGCTTTATATGATTTAGACCAGGATAGCGACAATGGAGATTGGAGACTGGTTCATTTGATAGGCAAGTCACACATAAATCATTTGTTTTATTGGTACTTCCTTGCAAAAGAACATGAGGTGCATTCAAGCTAATTCTTGATAGTGAATAGAGGTAAATATTGAGAATTAAAAATGACTTTTTTTCCCTCTCCAGTCAACACTTACCTTCACCATATTGCTCAAACTTCAAACATGGAGATCCATCTATAATTCCAAAAATAATGGCGAAAAAAAAAAAAAAAAAAAAAAAAAAAAAAAAAGAAGAAGCTCATACCCACAACATGTCCTTAATGGGGCTTGAATTATCATTCTCCCCCTTTAAGAAAAAGAGATACACAGGGCTATTTGGTTAGTAAATCTTAAAAACAATTTTCTGATTATGTTTTTAGAGAATCCAAAATAAAAAATCTGTACAAAAATTGTTTGGTCCAATTTCTTTAAAACTCTATAAAAAGACTTATTTTCATATAAACTGTCTTTTATAATTTTTTAAAAATAATTTTCTACTTTTTGAATTATTGATAACTATTTTTAGAATTATAAACCAAGCGGACCATACCATCTGATAGAAAAGTATTACATGATTTTAAAGTGTTTTATGTACTTTAATTTAAGCAGCAACACTAAATTGGCTATAATTCAAGTTTATCAAGGAATTCCAGTAGCAAAGAACGGTTATAATTCTTGTGATGAGAATAATATATATATACACATAGATGTCTAGAGTTATTTTATTTTACTATTTATTATGGATTAAGTTCTACCATGGTATAATCGATGACAACTTCTTTTCAAGAAATCAAAGTAAAATTTTTATTTATATGAATTATGTGAATTTGTATGAGAGTTAAAGAACTCCCGGTTTATTTGAAATAAAATTATAAATTTAAGATTTTTAAAATTAATTTTAAACCAAATACTGATTTGAAAACGACTTCCTAACTACAAAACATTAAAGATTAAAAGTACTTTCGAAAGTAGTTTGAAATGGGCGATGTATAGTTAGACATAACTAAAAGAGAGATATTTGGTGGGTATGTAGTTACAAAAGGAATGGTGCCTTTTTGTAAAGAAGTGCAAACACTTTTCACAAGTTCCAACAAATATGTTTTTTAAACCAATAAATATAAAACAAATATGTTTTTTAAATCAATAAATATAAATATTACTATAAATTATTAGATGGTCCTGATTTATGTGATAGTTGATAAATTAATTTAATAAAAATGGTTCTGATCCATTGATACTTGGTGGACCAATTCAACTTAAACATTATTAGATGATTCTGATCCATTAACACTTGGCAGGCCAATTCAACTTAAACTCTTCCATTAAGAAAATGACCCCACAAGTGTCACTGGATCAGAACCATTTAATAATTTTCAGATTTGTTTTTTTTTTATTTATTAATTCGGGGTGTCAGGTAAGTCACTGCTGGGACAGCAGAAGCTAACCACAAAGAATACCTAATGAGACTCGAATCCCAGACCTTGGGCTTGTTAAGCTCCAAAGTTTAGCTAGTAAACTGTTGGGCCATATTCAAAGTTAATGACAACGCTCCTTGTTGTTATAAGAAAAATTGTTGAAATATATAAATAAATGTTGAAATATATAAATATTTCTATGTAATTGTGGAACAAAAATCTTCTACCAATCATGGTGTCTCTTTTGACTATTATATACCTTCCATATATTCTTATCTTTACCATGCCCCTTATACTTAAGCAATATACAGATCTGAATAATAAAAATGTATCTCCTAATGGCTCTTTGTTCATAGATGCATGTAGGCCTTAGTGCGGAACCATGTATATGTTCTCCATATTTTTCTCTTCCCTTATCCTATTTGCATTTATTATTTTGCATCCAATTTTAACAACAAAAAAAAAAAAAAAGTAATAATTTTACATCTTTGTGTTTTGTCCTGGGCTACCATCAGGTACGGACTCAGAAAAGTATGCGAAAGGGGGCGATTTAAAAAAAAATGTTGTGGGGGCAATAGTAAAGTTTTTATCTAATTTTAGTTGGGGCAAACTTAAAATTTTGAAAATATATAATTCAAATAAGTAAAATTAGTGGGTAAAAAAGCAAAAGGAAAAAATTTCAGTGCGGGCAATTGCCCCCACTGAGCCCTTCACAGATCCGTCCTGACTACCATACCCAAGGCTCAGACAAGGGTTTCGAATCTTAGTGTCTCTGCAAGTCCCTCGATTTAATCATGTACATGTTGAGGGGTCAATGCGTGTGAGATGTGAATTAGTCGAGACAAAGCTCTTGACACCCCATTAAGGAAAAAAAAAAAAAAATGGGTAATGATAAAAAAAAACATGAAATTTATGTGTACGAAGATATAGATCTTTAGAACATAATTAGTTTTATTTTTATTTAACAAATTGAAAGGAAAGAGTTTCAAAACAGAAAGAGTAACGATAGGCAACACTAAAAGGAAAACGCCAAACTCTACAAATTTGATAGGGCTAAGAGCATTTACAGCTATATGTTAAAATTTTTCTTTGTGTAAAATATACACGGTCACTTATGACGTGTAAATTTTTTCCATCTCCAGCAGTCTGTTAACCTACATTATCACATCACCAATATGTAAAAAGGTTGTGTATTTACCTTTTTACACTACCAAATCAACATATTTCTTTTTTCATTCTTCTTTCTCATTCCATTAAAGAATCAATCATATATTAAGTAAGTTTGTAAAAGTTATGTGGGTCCAGACATATGTACGTGAGTCTTAGCATAACACCTGGTTGATTATTATTGGGAGATATATTTTTATACAAAAGGTATAAAACAATCATTGGAGATAAAATTAAATAATTCAATTTTTTGTGTAAAACCATTGTGACACATCAGATTTACAAAAAAATATATATATACAATGGTTGGAGAGGCTCTAATCCACGTGAGAAAAAAAAATATATAAGGAAAGAAAATATATACATATATGGTGCTTTCTCTTTCCCCGCACAAACATGAAACCAAAAACTTTTCAAAATTAGATATATACAACACTTCTCCTCAAGTGTCATCTTTTGTAAAATTACTCTTAACCCCTACTTTTTCTTTGAAAGACAAATACATTTTGTAGAACTCTAACTAGATGAATAAATTATAGATTAAAAATTCCTTAATATAAATTTAAAAAAATAAATATTTGATTTATTCACAGCATAGATAATACTGTATTTGTATAGTTTTATGAATTATTACTTTATAAATTTAAATTTATGGAATACGGGAACAAATAATTTTCGATTTATGATTATTTTCTTTTGCTCTCTCCATCCAATTTTGGAGAATTTTTAGTTCCTGTTTATGAGGGAAAGAGAAAATACCATGTATTTTTTCTTTTTTTTTTTCCTTTTCATTTATGTCATGTAAGAGATGACTCTTTCTTTTTTTTAATTCTGACGTAGCTTACCCAAAAAGATTCGAATAGATAGACAATGCGAAAAAGAAAACACCAAAACTCTACGAATCTGATATGGCTAAACTACGTCAGAATTAAAAAAAGAAAGAACCCTTACATGGTATAAATGAAAAGAAAAATATATGGAAAGAATATATATATATATATATATATATATATATATATATATATATATATGGTGCTTTCTCTTACCTCTCACAAAGAGAAAACTAAAAACTCTTCAAAATTAAATATATACACAACACTTCTCCTCAAGTGTCATCTTTTATAAAATTACTCTCAACCCTTACTTTTTCTCTAAAAGACAAATACTACTTGTTCTCCAAAATTAGATATTTGAATTTTACCTTTATTTCAAAAAAAAAAAAAAAAAAACAGAGACATATTCGCATTTTACCGATATTTCAAAAAACGCTACACTTATAACCAAAAATAGCATTATAGTACACTTGTAAAGGCAATTGTATCATTTCATTTATTTGGAAATCAATTTGAGTATTAAGGTATAAAACTGTAGTATAAATGCCACATCCTTTCAAAATTACAAAGTCTAATAAATAAGAGAATTATGAAAGATATTCCCACCATATAAAGCACTTTTGTAGTGCACTTACTATTATTGTCTAAAAAAAACATAGAAAAACACACTTGTTCTTCAAGCACAAAAAAACTCAAACTTCACAATTATCAAAAGATACTTACAATGTAATTATGTTTAAGTGTAGTGTAAGAGCATTACTAGTATGTTTCTTTTACTGTACCTGTTTTTATTTTTTGAAAATCAAAAACAATTTTCAAAAATGTTTTTTGAAAACAAAAATGGCTGATTGGATATTTCAGGTCAGGGTAAGGGTCATAAGAGTCATTGTACTAGGAGTAGTAGAAATCTGAAGAAAAGAGCATAGGAAGGCGGATGGTGTGTTCTCAGTTTCCACTTTTCTTCTGAGTAATATCATATCTTTCTTCTCAATTTCCCTTTTGTAATTTTTTCTCTGCAGAAATCTCTGTCTCTCTTCGCTCTCTCTCCTCTGATCCGTCATGTTTGATAATCTCCAGATTCCAACATCACTCTCTGCTTCAGGTATGTAAATTTCTCTATCATCTCTCTCTCTCTCTCTCTCTCTCTAAGGCTCTCTCATTCTGTTCTCCTTGACTCCCTCAACTCTGTTTGGGGTTTCTGATCTCTCTTACTTCACTCACTTTTGTTCAGAATGAAAATGTACCTATTTTTAAGTTTCCTTATTTGATGTACGGATTGGATTCCAATGTCGAAAATGGAAACTACTCATTTAGATTTTGATTTTCTGGATCTTAATTTTTCAGATACCTGATGTCTAAAAGTTGCATATTGTTCGTATGCTAATGTGCATTCTAGGGGTGTTTAATGTCTCACATTTTGCTTTTACATGTGAATGACGAACTGGGCATGTTTGCTTTTTGTGATTTAGGCAATCCTTGTCTTTTATTTTGGATCTAGGAAGTTGAATGTGGCATTTACTTTTCGAATCTTTGTTCTGTACTGTTTTTTTTATAAAATGGGATGGTCGATTAGGGTTTATTTTGATTCATTGTTCTTGGTTGGCTGGAAATGGGATCTTAAATGCAGTTCCTGTATATGAACGAGACTTCTGTTTATTATAGCAACATAAAGGGGGATTTTCAATTTTCTTGCATTTGACATTGGGATTCATTAGCTTGATTTCAGATCTATGGTGTGTACTGTATCACTTTCTCATAATTTAGATGTTCTCTGTCTGTCTGCTTGTTTTGGTACATGTTATCGAATCAATAAATTGTTGATATTGATATACATGATACTCCTTTTGGTTATCTGCTTTTTAGGGGATACTGGATTCTTAGTTATTCTGTAGTAGATTGAGTTGCAATGCTGCAAATATCAGCACAGCTGGTGTACCATAATATGTGTTGATTTGTTGGACTTGCCAATTTCGTTAGTGCTGTCTATAATTTTTTATAATGGCATTTATACATGGACATTTTTCTGAACTTTCTAGCTAATAAATAACCATGGTTTTTATTAGATTTCCATGTTTTGTTATAAAAGGGCTCTGAAATTGCATCAAGACGCTTATTTTGTTACACTCTTGATCAAGTATGATTACTCCGGAATTGGGTGCGCTAAGTTGAGCGTTTGGACTCTTTTAAGCTGGTATAGTTGGAGGTTCTTGGGGCAGTGCTTTGTGTGCTCTTGTTGTTTGGTTTCTCTTGCAGTCATTCAAGTCAGCTTAATGGGTTCCCGATTCCCATCCCATCAGTTGAGCAATGGCCTTTACGTATCAGGCCGGCCTGAGCAGCCAAAAGAAAGGCCTCCCACAATGAGCTCAACAGCCATGCCCTACACTGGTGGCGATATAAAAAAGTCTGGAGAACTTGGAAAAATGTTTGATATTCCTGTGGATGGCTCCAGGTCAAGAAAATCTGGACCTATAAGTAATGTTCCTTCTAGAACTGGATCATTTGGTGGTGCTGCTTCTCATTCAGGCCAATTGATGCCTAATGCTGTGAATAGGGTTGGTTCGGTATCTTCTGGTGGGGTTCCTGGTTCAGCCTCATTAAAGAAAACCAATTCTGGGCCTCTCAATAGACATGGTGATCCAGTGAAGAAGTCATCTGGTCCTCAAGGGGCAACCTCTGTTTCACGGCAAAATTCTGGCCCTCTTGCTCCTGTCCTCCCCACAACAGGTCTCATCACATCTGGGCCTATTTCTTCGGGGCCACTGAATTCATCGGGGGCTCCTCGGAAGGCATCCGGTCCGTTGGATTCCACAGGATCAGTCAAGCTACACAGTACTTCTATAGTTCATAATCAAGCCGTCACTAACCTTAGCCAAGAGGAAGAATATTCCTTCCGCAAGAGCTTCCCGAAGCCTATCCTTTGGTCGATGATTCTGCTGTTTGTGATGGGTTTTATTGCTGGAGGTTTTATCCTTGGAGCTGTTCACAATCCCATTCTTCTAATTGTTGTCGTAATTCTTTTTGGTGCTGTTGCTACAGTATTTACCTGGAATACTTGTTGGGGAAGAAGGGCTATTACCGGGTTTATTGCCAGTTATCCAGATGCTGAGCTTAGAACTGCAAGGGATGGCCAATTTGTCAAAGTTTCTGGGGTACGTAACGTCTTGAAGAATGCTGAAACAGTGTTTCTATTGTGATTCTGCATGTTTTATCAGTAGCATGCTTTTATTGTTCATTTCCCCCAAGTTCTTTAATTAGCTTGATTTCTCGACTAGTGATGTCTTTTTATCTTGGAAAGGTTATAGCTATTTAATTTATTTATTTTTAAATAATAATTGTGAATTTTTTAGCAGAATTTGTTAGGTTTCAAAAGTAGTAGATTGAACATTTGTTCAATGGAAATCTGGAATCAGTTTTGTTGGATGTCTTGAATTCTATGGAGTTGAAACCATGAACGCTTTGACATGATTTTAATTTTAATTTTTGTTTTACCTAGGCGTGCCCAAAAAAATGTTGGAATCGGTACCCGTTCTGAACCGAACCAATTGTATTGTTATATATAGATATTTTATACTTGCATGTGCTTGTCCTATACTGCTTAGAGATTGATCTGGTTTTTTCTTATGTTCTTTAAATTGCATCCATTTGTTTGTTACACTTGCCTATGAGTGTCCTAACAATGAAGGGCTGTAATTTCTTGAAGGTGGTTACATGTGGAAATGTTCCCCTCGAGTCATCGTTCCAGAAGATTCCTAGATGTGTTTATACATCTACAAGTTTATATGAGTACCGAGGATGGGACTCAAAAGCAGCCAATGCCACACATCGCCGCTTTACTTGGGGTCTCCGATCACTTGAGGTGAGAAAGATTTTATTCTTCATTAAATATCCGGATGGTTACGAATTTTTAAAATCGTTTCTTTCAACCATTGAAGTGGATGTTTTTAGTCAAGTATGCCGACTTCTGAAAGGTTTCATGCATGTACATGACTTAGGAATGATTTTTCTTTTCTTTTTGTATTACATCATATTCTTTTTGAATTTTGATTTGTATAAACCTCACTTGGACATGATTTTGTGATTCAAATTGTCCAAATTTACATTGGAAACAACTCTCTGAGTCAACTGTGTCGGAAGAAAGTTGAAGATGCGTGTCAAAGTTGTATGTAATTATTAATGAGCCAGTTATGTTCAGAGGAGTGAAGTTAACAGGTTTCCTGTACTCACCAACTCTTGAATGTAGTTTTGTTGGTTTGAACTTGTCTGGACCTTGTCCAGGTGGTGACAGCGTTTTTGTGAGTGGATGAATGTCTCTCAATGACTACCATCCGGACCTTAAAATGAGTGCATCATTAACCACATATACTTCTTTCTAGGGTATGCTCTTGAGTCCTCGTTCTCATTTAAGTTTTGGCTTGTTATTATGGTGAATGCATGAATGAAAGGTGAAGGTAGTTGCTGTTATATTTCTGGCTATAATCAGTCACAAGGTTTTCTGATTTGACATATTCCACCTTTTTTTATTGCTCTGTCATGGAAAGAAGCATATTTACATATTATGAATTTCTTCACACAGGCGTATATAATTTTGCCGGCTTGAAATATTTTCTCTGTATAATTGCAGAGGCATGTGGTTGATTTCTACATTTCTGACTTCCAGTCTGGGTTGAGGGCATTGGTTAAGACTGGCTATGGTGCTAGGGTGACTCCATATGTGGATGAATCTGTTGTTGTTGACATCAATCAGTCAAACAGAGACATGTCTCCAGAATTTATCAGATGGTTGGGAGAAAGAAACCTCTCAAGTGATGATCGTATAATGCGATTAAAAGAAGGGTAAAAAATTCAACCGTGTACCAAAATCTTCTTAGTTCGTTTAAGCTTAATTGCATGCTTATGTAGTGTAATATTGCAAAGTGAAAGCTTAATCAAAACTAGCAATAGAAAGAACAACAGAGTATATTATTACCTAAATGGTAGATATGGGAAAGCTTTTGCCTCTGAAGAATTCCTTTCAAATTGAAACTAGCAGATGTTTTTGGATTAAATAATGAAGTGACTAGCTTGATGAAATATAATATGTTTTTGCTAATTTTTTAGGGATGTTTGTTCATTAATGGTGAAAACATATTTACATCTGATGCTTTTTCGTTGTTTCTTTTTTCCTTTTTTGCCCCAAAGAGGAGAGATATTTTTAGATATTTTATTGGCTATTCAAACTCTTCTTGCTTGTGTGGTGATTGACGACAATAGGTATATCAAGGAAGGTAGCACTGTGAGCGTAATGGGAGTTGTCCAGCGGAACGAAAATGTGCTGATGATTGTTCCTCCACCAGAGCCAATCCCCACTGGGTGTCAGTGGGCTAAATGTATTCTTCCTGCAAGCCTCGAGGGCATTGTTTTGAGATGTGAGGACAGTTCAAAGATTGATGTCATTCCGGTGTAGCAAGCATTTCGAAGTTCAAATTCTTGACGGTTTGCTGCTTTGAGATTAAATTTGTCGAATAGTTTTGATATGGTGGTGGTGGTGGTGGTGGTGGTGGTGGTGTCATTTTTCATTTCACCAGATGTATAGTTTTGTGATTTTTTTCCATCCTTATTTTGGCTCAGAAGCTTTTGTAATGGGGTTGGTGTGATTATTATAGCAAGTGGGAACTTGATTGGTTAAATGAGGGGTTTGAGGATTGGGTTTTATGTTTAGGATTGTTTGAAATGATTTGAGTAATTTGTGTTTGTTCTTGTCGAAGGTGGTGGTATCAAGTAGTCCTCAAGTGCTAAGTGGTTACCGGTTTCAGTTGTTTGAGATATGACTGCTTTTGGGCCGTACTCTGAAATTAACTGTCTCAAATTTGATGTGGTTGAGATGAGGAATGCTTTGCAGAGATGCCTTTTGCTTTGGCTTTTGTGGGAAAGAAATTCATGCTTGGGACTGTGTCTAAAAAAGTTAGTTCAGACCCACAACTACAATATTAGGTTTTGTACTGTGCTCAAACCTTGTATATATATGTGTGTATATATATATATATATATTAGTTATTGGATATATAAATTATATTGATATCTGGGAAAAGATTAAAAAACTAAAAAGAAATTTGTAATATAATATGGCAGATAATTTATTGACATAAAACCTGAAGGACTGATCCTAATGAGGTACCGTTAAAATTTTGATACTAAATAGGTTATTTAAGGTTTTAAAAATATAGATATGTGGGGAAAAATTAACATGGTAGAAAAGTAGTATACTACTGATAGATTAGGTTCTAAAATGAACAGAAACGGAATGACCGATACCAGTTGGTTTTAGCCCGGGGGGTGGCTAGACACTTATTTGGTTGGAAGGAAAGAAAAAGGGTGGAAGGAAAGTAGAAAGGAATAAATAAATTTCTAACGTGATATAAAGAAAAAAATGATAGCTTCAAAAATTTTCATCGACCGAAGATAGGAGAGAAGACAAGTGAGCCTATTATAGAAGTTTTAAATTACTACATCACCCTTCATAAATATTTAATAAATTCCATAAATAAGGTAAGGGGGGTGTTTAAGGATAAAAAGAACTTAAAATTTTATCTTTCCTTTTATCGTACATATCAAATTACTTAATCTATCATCCTTTCTTCTTTCCTCAGCCAATAGGAAGGCCTCAATTAGTTTTTATTTCTTTATATTATATCCTACCTAAAATTTTTATTTCCTTCCTATTATCACTCCAGTCACAATTAATTTTTATTTCTTCATATTATATCCTATCTAAAATTTTTATTTCCTTCCTATTATCGCTCCAGTCAATATAAAGGCCCCAAAAATTGTATTTCCTTATATTATAACTTTCAAAAAAAAAATATTTATATTATAACATTCCTAAAAATGTTATTTCCTTCTTATTAGTAAACTCTGTCCAATAGAAATGCCCCAATTTTTTTTTTTATTTCCTTATATTACAATCTCCTTAAAAATTTTATTTGTATCGATTATTAGACCATAACCAATAAAGATTTAATAGGGACCAAAAGATTTCTATCATTATCTTACCTCTTTTTTTCTCTCCCTCTCTCAGCTCCTCATTCACGTTTCTTTTTTCTCTAAAATTTGTAAAACTTTCCATATTCTTATTTTAACTTTTTCTTCTTCTTTTTTCCTTCTTATTTTTGACAGATTTTTCCTCATTTTTTATTAAATATAAGTTCTATAACTCTAAGATCAATTATGTGACAAGAAAGATTAATTGGATTGACTATATATATATTAGATATTAAAAGGCTACTTTTATATTTTTTTGTCTAAGACCTCAAATTATATTGAGCCACCCTTGATTTTGGCGTGCTTTCTTTGTAATTTTTTTGGGTAGGTGGTTACGTAAGACCTATGAAACACAGACACCCCTCCTAGGAGTCTCATACTAGTATCGAACACGTGTCTGGCACTTCTATGAAGTGTCTAAAAATTATTTTTTATTGGACACGGGGTGTGGCACACGGAGAACACATACTAGACACGGATAATTTTATTGGCTGGTCCTACGGTGTCCGTGTCTTGTTTTTTTTAAAAAAAAATTTACCGTGTCACCGTATCCGTGTCGTGTTATACCCGTATTCGTACTTTAAGACTAATATATAAAATTGCTAGTTTTTTTAACTAATGCAGTGATTATATTTTACCCCTACCGAAAATTCAATCTTTCTGAACATATATCATCTTAAACTAGTGTTTATGGTTGCGTTTGTTCCTTTTTTTTCAAATTTTATTTCTTTATTATTTTTCATATTCTTTTTCAAAATTAGATGATTTAAATCGTCTTGTCGTATTAAATTCTATACAATTGTTCTCTGTAATAGATGCCCTTGAATTGTGGTCCCAACTCTCCCAAGAAAGATTAAAAATAAAAATAAAATTGTTAGAAAACATGTGACGTCGTGAACAAAAATGTGGTCCAAAGACATAAACGTGATCATAAAACTTAAAAACGCGTTACATCGTCATTATATTTAATTTTCAAAATTATTTTTTGGGTGTGGGTGTGGTTGGTCGGAAAAAAATTCTTCCGACAATTTGTCAAGATGAAATTCAAATAATACTCCCCCCTTCTCCCAAAAGTTAATACATTTCTATGTTTAGCCGCTCAAAAAGTATATTTTTAATAACATTATCAATTTAATTTTGTTGTTTTAAATTTATAAAAAATAAATTATCATATCATTGTGGACCTATTATGAGTAAATTGATAATTCATTCACTACCAATATAATAAATTAAAAAAATTAAAAATTAAAAGTTGTTACCTTATAAAGTTTGATTCCCAAAAAGAAACATTTTTGGCGAGACAGAGGGTGTACAACCTGTCTAGATTCTAACTCAAGTTATTTCAAGGAATGATTTTTTTTTTTTTAAAAAAAAAAGAAAATAAAAAAAAAGGAAGAGTTGAGACAATACAAATTTAAATGTAAACTTACAGTGATAAAAATGATTTGTAGTAGAGTTGAAACAATACAAATTTCAATGCAAACTTAGAGTGATAAAAATGATTTGTAGTAGAGTTGAGCTTGGATTTCTACTTGTTTTTTTCAAGTAATGATCCCGATTAATGATTTTTATATAAATAATAATTTATTTTTTTTAATTAGTACTTTCACACACATGTTTCAACTGCACACACATGTCTCAACCGAGGTTCGAACTCCTAATCTCCTTTTGAAAAGGTTCTCGCTGGACCATTGATCCATTAGTTGATTTTAATAGCATTTTTTCTATTATTATTGTTTAATATTAGACTATTCTATAAAAAAAATATATACAAAATTTATCTTTAATTTATTTATGTTTTAATTATTTTTCTTAAAAAATATGCATAATGGTACACCACGAACTCTCCACAACCCTGATATGGGACGGCCTCGAATCAGATCTGAAAAAAAAAAAAAAAAATTAAAATTAAAAAAAAATTATTGGCGAAACGAATTTGAAAAGGGTGCCGTCCCAAACCCGCCCGTTACCATCTTTATGGACTCTCGTCCACCTAGATTGGGTGAAGCTGTATAAGATAGATACTCAGACCACCTTGATTTCACGTTAAAATTGCAATGAAGCTTTGAAATTATGTAACAGAAAAATAAAATAAATACGACAATTAGAGAAAAACAAATATAAATTTTATAGTTCCCCCCATGTTGTAACGGGTGGTTTTGTGAAGCCATGAATAATGGCGATGAGCATCGTGAAAATAATGAATAGAACATGTAAAAGGCAATAGAAAATGGATGGTCAACCGGGCATTCCAACCGCTCACTATTCACTATTCTTTTTCCAATGTAGAGAAAAACCCTAGCCGTGTATTCCTCTAACCCTGCACCGCGAAGGGATTAGACCTAAGCTTTTAAGAGACAAACTAAAGGAGGTAAACACAAAGAAATGTGTTTTTAGCAATCTTCCATTCGTTTCCACGAAGCTCTACTAGGTTAAAAATTAAAATCCAGGGAATTGCTTTTACAAGGAGAAAAAGTCTAGTGATCATAACAACCACCTCATGAAACTACTAGGTTAAACATAAACCATGCATATCAGAAAATATAAAAACCACTACTACAACTTCTACTCTCTCTTTTTTTTTTTTTCTTTTTTCGGGGAGGGAGGGGTGCTTTAATGGCTAACCACCAGAATAAAATTAGTTCACATAAGATTCAAAATGCATCTCAGATAAACAAAGTATAAACCATCTGCTGCAGAAGCTTTACACATACTATTCTCTGACAGTAATTTGATGAAATGATTGGAAGAAGATGAGTCATAGGGTTATTGATTCAGAATCTGTAACTACCATATCCTCCCATACCAGACGATCCATACCCACCATAAGGTTGTCCTGACAAGGAAGATGAGGAATAAGAGCTGCCACCCAACTGAGAGTAGGAAGACCTCAAACCAGTGTCAGTATTGCCATAGCTGCTAGCAACAGGCTCTCTGTGGCCGCCGATTGATTCCTGCAAGAGTGAAGAAGAAAATGAATCTATTCAACAACAATATAAAAAATAAATTAAATTATGTTATCAATACAAGCCCATGTAAACAGCTTTCTTAACACAATTCCGTAACCCAATACGCAAGACTCAAATAAACTCGAGAAATTATTTACATTAACTAACGGAAAATAAATGAAACCTCACTTAAAAATCTTTTCACATATCAATCCTCAATTTTTGCTATATTATCATTGAGCTAGTAGCTTTCTTCAATTTAACATAGCAAAGCCAGAAAATAAATCAACAATAGTTCATTTTTTCCATAACTTTTCATAAAAAAACATATTTTGCATATTTGATTCCAAGTAAGAAAGATTATCATCTCAAAAGAAAGTTTAAAGAACACATAAGACAACAATATGGTGATTCCTCAAACCTGAATAAGTTGCTGAGCTGTCTGAACCTGTGATGAAGTCCCCTTAATTTCCACAGTAATTTCATCAGGTAGGCCTCTACTCTCCTGCACGGTGAGGATGGCGCCACTAGTACGTCGAATGTATGCAATATTTGACCCTCCAATCCCAATGATGTCCTCAGCATAAGTGAGTGGTATTTGCATTGTCTGCGCAATCTGATTAGAGGAAGCAAACAGATCAGATAGTGAAACTAGGGCAAGCAATAACCTACTAAAGTAAAAAGAGATTAGGCCAACAATATATAACAACTATTTGGTGAGCATGAACTGGTTGAAATCTATGAAAATGACTTCTCTTCTTTCCTTTTGGTAGTCCTATTCATACTCAACTTTTGATGCTCAATCTCATCACTGAAAGAATGGTGATGTTACAAATATTAAAATAAAAAATTAACAGGCAGGGATGATATTTTATCTGGACTTCGCGACAAGATAGAATTGCTGATTTTCATTAAGACGCATATAGCAAGGCAATTGATGCAATTTTATCGGGCTTGAAGTCTTGATGTTCTCCACTTGAAAATAAACTCTGCTTCCACGTTGTTAAGCAAACTTCATCCTCCCAGATACACAACCAGGTCTCTGTATCACATATGAATATGATGCCAAGCATCATGCTAGAATTATTCTTTTACTTGAATACAACGGAATGCCCGTTGGGTCCTAGTCAAATCATCTTGCAACATCTGTTAGGTAGTAATAACCAAGTGGACTAAAGAGGGGAATAGTTCTTTCTGAACATCATAAGTATCCGATTTCATAGATCATACAGAAAACTGAGTAATATTTCTGCATAAATTTATGTTCGATAGTCCCAACACAAGCTTTAGATCACATTAATATCTTTCGGAAAGTAGAGGCACAAGAAAGAAAATGAGGACCTCAGAGGAGGTTCAGCAGTTTTAAGCAAGCAGGCTGAATGAATCATACCAGTAAGCAAGATGGAAACTATGTGGAATCTATGTTCTTTTTCGGGTTTGAGAAAGAGAAATTAGTAGACTTAACTGTTAGGTGCTCTTTTTCAATGTACGAAATTATTCTTGATGAAATTTTTAATATGTTTGACCATTCAAACAAAACTCAATTTCATTAAAGTATCTATCATGTTTGTTCTGAAATGATAATATAGTACAAACACACGAATATGAAACTGCCCAAATGCAATATTCAAATACATCTTGAACATTTTATTTAAACCACAGTCAAAACAGTGGAGAGAGCATATGTGGCCACTCCATGGGCCAGTCCAGGCCAACCACCCTATTACAATCAAATGTCTGGACAGACCAGAAAGAAGATGACAGGAATATGCAATATTACCGACACCAAAAGAAATATGGACTCAAAAGTGGCGTAAATAATTAGATAAATGCCATTGAAACCACCAACCTGGGTTACAATAGGACCAGCAGCACGAGTAAGTCCTGAAGATCGCATTCCAGATAGACCAGGATCTTGAGAATAAAGTGAAAGCCCAGAGGAATGGATTTGTGATTCCATCTGGGTTTCACGGTCAAGATACAGAGAATCCCGCTTTCCTGGAAGAGAATAATCACTACCAATTCCACTTTGAGAAGAAGTATGCAGCAATGGTTTGTCAGACCAGGTCTCTACTTGTCGATCTTGTTGAACTGTTGTATTGTTCTGTAAAAAGGATGTGGCATTATTAACTTATTTTTAGTGAAATAATCCATCATACTCGACAGAAATTACACTTACACTTTTTTCAAATAATGGAATAACACTATGATCCACCAAGAACTTCCTTAGGTTTCCAACCACAGCTTCTAGAGCTTTAAGAACCTTGAGAGCTTCTCCCTGCAACTCCACAATTCTCTCATCTGAGTTGGCATAGATTGGCAATTCATCTGGCAGCACATATATTAAGGTACCATGAGCCTTGTTATTTGGAAATTGAGAACCAATTTCAGAATAGACATGATATAGAAATCAGATGTATATAAATAAATAAAGCGGTTCCAAAATCATTATAGATAGAAAATGCACAAAAGACAAAATCCTTGATTTCACTGAGATAACCACTTGGAGGGGTTAAACACTGTAAGGATCAGGCAATGTCCTGAGATAAGACCAGAGCTCTTTTAATGTCTCTGCCAAAGATTCCTCGAATCACATTTCAGCATGGCAATGTGGTTGGCTGATATATTCCTTGACCAAGTAGATTGTCCACATTTGAATAGCAGCTAAGTATTTTGATTAACTTTCTTATTTAATTATTTATTTTATATAGATAAAAACAAAAGAATATGAAGACAGTGTTCAAACTCCTTTGGAGCTCAAACTCAAGAATACGATTTGACCACCACCATGCCTTGCCAGCTAAAATAGCTCTGTGCATCTTATAAAGTTTCTGTAAAGGGCTTACATCAGTAACCTATTACTATCTTCCGTCATTAACCAATAATCAATCCTCGGGATTGGGAATGTTAGAAAACAATTTCAGTAATATATTTCTGTAAAGAAAAGATTCAGGTCGTAATTTATAAACCGAACTAAGGTGAACAAAATCAAAATAAATTTAACACTTGTCACTAAAATACAATAGGTAAGATTTTGCATGAAGATCTAAGGTTAGATCATGCTAATACGTTACTTTGGAGGAGGAAAATTACAGAATTTATTAAAAGAAATGGGGAAGAAAAACAAAACAAAAAAAAAAAAAATTAAATGGGCTACAAAGGTTCACGTCCTTTATGGTCCACACAGCACGACAATAGCCATAAACCTGTCAATTTTAATAGGACTGTTGTATGGGTTTGCGCCCTCAATTGCATTATGTAAGAACAGTTACATTATCTAATGAGTGCTTGCCTCTATTCAACGTGTTTGGCAACCACATTTTAAAGCGAAGATGGCTTGGCTGCATATTAGCCATAAATGAAACTAAAACTCCAAATGACAAGGACTTAAAGAAACATACTATCACCAAGACTACTTTAACAACAAACATGTGAAAGGAGAGGTAATTGACAGAAATTTTTGGAAAAATAGCCGCTGCCACCCCAAAAAACACATTGTCAGTAGCATAAATGAAAACCTTTGGCTAATTAATCATCTATATTTAGATAGAGAATGCCCCCAATAAGATCAGTTTTATACTAACTAACAGCCTATCAAGTAAAATTGTTGTGTTTTTTCTATAGTGTATTCATATTCTGCCTGTTTGCCTCAAGTTTCATTTGGTTTTCCAAGAAGTTGCATTTCAGCAGCGCTATCCATTTTTGGAAGTGTTCTTAAAAAGAATAATGTAATAAAGATTGAAATGGACTCTAGTTCACTTGAGCTTAAGTTTTTCTGCACAAAGACTTGGCCAATCTCCCTTTTTTTCAGGTGCACCCAAATGAATCTTCTATAACAGCTCTCATCCCATTCCAGAATTTGGTTTTCTTATGATTGCCCTATTGACAACCAAAAATCTTGTCAAAATTGATCTTCCTTAACACCATTGAACTGGAAAACTTTTAATTACAAAAGAAGTCCCCACTTGCTTCATAGAAGCACTAAAAAAGAAAGTAAATAGTATTTTTCAAAGCAATAATAATCTAGGCAAAACCTTTCTAGACAACCCATCAGATTTAGCAAGAGTTTTGGTAGTTAACTTTGTTACTTGAACATGTGGAAATGGGAGCATAAAAATAATAATTAAATAATGTCAGAAGATTAAAAAAATATGTAACATGTCTCATAGTGTCGCATAAGGATCATCTAAACACCCTAGTAATGACAGGAAATTTCCAAATACAAAATGCTCCAAAATTTTTGATAAAATAACAATTTTCCACGACACATTCTGAGAAATCAAACGGCCCACGAATCTACATATTTCCCTTCTCTCAATTTCTAGCCTCCCCTATATACAGCAAATACTAGTTTCATACATAGATGATCAACAAATAAAAAAGTAAATTTACAGAGAGAAAAAAGAAAAAAAGTCCTTTTAAAGGATTAGGAAATAAATATGTGAAGCAAGAAGTTGGCAATTGTTTGGGTTTGTTTGGTTCAAAAACTCTGAAAAACTAAAAACTGTTTCCGATTCCTTAAAATAAGACATTTTTTATAAAAAAGAATTCAAAAAACTGACAACCAACGATTTCTCAATTTTCAATAAACATAAAATAAAAAACAGTTACCAGAAAGTTGAACCAAACAGGCACTTGATATTTCACAGTTTTCATTCATCATCATGCTAGTAATGCCAGCAGTGCTCTCTTGGTCCCACCTATGTGGGACGCAAGCACGGTAGCCTAATAAAAACCTAACTTTTAATATTATTATTTGCATTCAATGGAAGCTTTTACTGTACACCAAATAATGGGCCATATAACAATTCTATAACAAATAAAAAATTCATTTTGAAACATTTAAAGCATACCATTTGAGAGAACCCGAACAGAGGCACCAGTGCTCTCTTGTATTGACTTAATTATAGAGCCTTGCTTGCCTATTAAATTAATGGCTTGTGCAGATGCCACCAGTAACCTGATTGAACAAAACGCAACCCCAGCAACACCAGATGCTTTACCATCGCTCTCACTCTCAGGTAATCCACTGACACGTTTAAATACTTTTATGGTAGCATCCATTGCAGGGGACAATGGAGCCTCCAGTTCTTCCTTTCCAGATATTAGGACCTATAGGATTGAGGAAAAAATAACCCAGTTCAAAATTAAAATCCAGTGACTTGGTAGAAACAACAAATTGAAAATAAAATGAATTTGTGGTGAATATTAAACGCAACACCACCAGGGCCACCTAATATAGCAAAAATATAGAGAAAAAGAAAAGAAAAGCAACAGGCTAGCTAACTAAAACAGAAACTTCACTACTCTAAGGACCTGTTTGGGAACCACAGTTGCTTTGTGTTTTTGCTTTGACCCGAAGCAGAAGCAATGTTTCTGCTTTGGAGTGTGTTCAATACCATTTGGAAGCATGTTTTATAACGTACATTTGTTGCAAGATTTTTGGGAGCAAAAAAATGAAAACATGTTTGGTAAAAAAATATTGCAAGTTTGAAAAATAAGATGGCTAGTTAAAAAGGTCATTTAGAGTTTTTTTTATTTTTATTTTTCTGGGGGGTATTGTTCATTGCTATAGTGCGGAAGCACCAAATTGGTGCTTCCGGTTTTGGCCTCTTTTTAGGAAGCGCTTCGGTACTATTAAAATCGTAGCAAACGTTACCAAGCACACTTCGTGCTTTTGCTTTGCTAAAGTACACTATCCGAATCAAGAAACACGAAGTAACTGCGGCTGCCAAACAGGCTCTAAGTAAGTGCTCTTGCAATTTCCATAAATTCGATCAAAAATGGCAACCAAACACATGATTACTAAAATTTGGAAATCATGTTGATGAGAAAACACTCCGTCACTTATGTTGAAAATAAGTGAGGCAAAAACCAAAAACTTCATGGAAAGCAGCCAGTATTGCTAAAGGAAGAACAATTACTCCGTGTAAAGCAGCTTGAATTAAGTTCAAGATCCAAGATGCACTTAGCTCACGTGAAGATTAAACAATTTAATAGATAAAAGACAAAAACAAAGAAGTGAAAGGTTTAAATAAATTTTAAAAGCACTCAGTTTTTTATCGAATGTCCCCGAAGGGACTAAAAGCACTCAAGTCACACGCCAATTCTTCACCAAGTCAAGAAAAAAGTTTAAGGACAAAAAGAAGTGCATGGTATAAGGAAAAAATTAAGCTAAATCCCATTATTAGAAAGTCATTGAATGTGGTGTGATTCAAATTATATAACTAGTATCGAATCAATATTAAACCTCTCTTTCATTATAAGCAACTTAAAGCAATACTGTCAACAGAACACACTCAACACAGCTTTGTAACGTGGGGTGAAAAGAATACATGATGCAATTTGGAAACCCTTACGTCATGTTAGAAACTGATCAGCACAACACATGCAATGTATTTGAGCAATGTAATTTCACTTGCAAACCAGAAATAGGCAATAGTTGTCTCTGGTAGTGGCAGGTGGGCTACGAGTTAGCAAGTAATCATGAAGCATAGTGGGGGTGGGACAGCAGTGGAGTTGCTGTGAAATAGAGAAAGGGGCAACTGTTGTGTTGGTGATTTAGGCGAGGAAGAGGCATTGATGGTGGCCATAAAAATGAATGTTAAAAAATAAATAAAGTATCAAAACTTGCTGCTAAAACAAGAAAGAAAAATTTACCAAAGCTAGTCAAAATTAAATAATACCTCCTTCTAGATAAGGCTCCATGAGAAACAAGAGGCTCAAAAAAAAGTTAGGCCAACGTCATAGGCCATCTAAGTTGGGAGCACTACTCAAAGCGGCCACGTGAACCTTTTAATCAATCAACATCACTTGCTTCGTGAAAACCTATGGACTCTAGGGTATCAATTTCATTTGACAACTGAAACCCAAAAGCCCTCTGAGAAAGTTTACCCTCAAAGCAAAAGTAAAGCTCGTCACTTGGAAGGGGAAAAAAAAAATCAATGATTCCTTGTCTACCCCGAATTAGCTCAATATGTGACACCTCAGTTAACTTATATGTTGTCCCATCACGTCAAATACTCAATCTACCACGTTGAATCAACATCTCATTACATTTACTGTGCCACCATACCTCACTAAGTACTGCACCGAACCCCCCATGCAATCACGACTAAGACCATACTTAGTCCTAATCAGTTCTCCACCAATCCATGCAAACATGACTAAGACCATACTTGAGGTTTTTTTTTTTTCAGTTTTAATTTGAATTCAAAATGGAGACGAAGATGGATCTTCTAAATCCATTGTGTATCCAGGTCGTTTTTGGATATGATTTGACATAAAACCGATTGCATTTAAACCTAAAATACAATATAAACCATGCCATTTTATGGTATAATATGACTTGTTTGGATTGGACATGTACTATATGAGTTGTATAAAAATGTACACATATAAATCCAACTTGGATTCAGATCCTACCATGGATCCTGACATTATAATATCGACCTAGACTTTGATCTACATGGATTCACTCCATATAATAATATCAATTTATATACGATTTGGATTTGCAGAAAGAACGCATGGTATCATGACCTCTCCTATCGCCCAATGGTCTTAATCTTGAAGAACCCCTCCCCTCATCACTGTATAAGATCATAAGCCCACATTTAAGAGAACAAAAACTACCCGCTGAAGAATAAATTGTTTACACCCTTTCCGTAAACCCATTTTTAGAATATTAATTATTTGCCTTTCAGATTTCAATTTTCTGAGGAAAAATCAAACATCCATAATGCCATTACCTCTTCCCTTCAAGTTTACTTGTGTTTCCACCTAGGCTAGCATAGCTGACAATCTTGCTAGTCTTGAACAATATCTCTAAGCCACTACCTAGATTATAAGCTCTACTATTAAGCCTTTATGTCCGAGTGGCCCAAGCATTTTAAATATAATTTTTCATATATAAATTGAAAATTGACTATGCAATATATGATCATTGATAAATACCTAATAAAAAATTTGATAATAATCTGATATTTTAAATCTAATATTTAATGTGCTATCCTAGTGGTATACAATTTAACATTGTTTCTGTAAATAAATATTTTTTTGCATAAAAGTTAATTTGCTCATTATTAGAAGTTTATGTAGTCCAAATATTTACATGAGTTTTAGCCTTTAGGCTTGTCCATGGTGTATTTAATAGAATTACGAAGATACAAATACATTATTATAAACTATTTGTTACTGTGTATAATCTTACAGTTGCCAAGTTGATTCTATAATCCAATCCTGAAGACATCCTTATTAATCCAACATTGGATCCCAATATTAACAATCATCCATATCATTAATAAATTAACCCAAAAGCAACTCTAAATTTGATCAAGGTAATAACCACCAAATTTCAAAGATAGAGAAACAAATGCAAAAAGGTCCCTTGCCACTTGGTGGTGAAAAAGTTGATCCACCGACTTGGGGACCTTGTAGACTTATACACAAGTATTTGGAAACTTGTATCTACTACTAAAAATAATCCATTAAAAACAATTGTTCATGCCACTCTCGGAGACAATAAAGTGCCACAGTGACACTTGTAACCCCAAAGACATCCATACCTTTTTTTCCCCAAAACATCAACCTCCTCAGGTTTTGACAAAATATATATTATAGGAATCGATTCTAATCAAACCATCTGCACTCTCCTTCTGTACTGCAACAGTGACAGCTTTAATATAGGGAAGTAGATAGTGTGCAAACAAAATTAGAATTATGATAGCGGATGTGATCGTGATGCAGTGATGGTCCGCTAGTATTAGTTACGGCAACATGGTAGCTGTTAGACACTGGTGCTTGAGGTATTAATGATGTTTACTAAAGATACACTGAAGAGCTTGATAATGTTTATCTATATCATAAATTAAAAAGAAAACATTGTATTGGGAAGCAAAACTGATGCCATTAATTTACTCACTTATAGGCAACAACATACTATTAAATTTTCAACGCTATATTTTAATTATTCAATTGATTTATGGAAAATTAAACAATGCTAAACATAAGCAACCAACCAAGTGATAAGAATAAACACAAAATAATTACTATTAACTATAACATGAAAGAAGGCAATTTCCCTAATAGCACCAGAATAGTCATAAAGGAATGATTTTTGGAATTAAAAGATTAAAAGCTATCAGACTGTAAATACAGAAACAAAGAGAAAGAACATTACAAATAAATAAACCCTAGATATAGAGATAAAGAAAGACTCACAATGCGATCGGGAGTGCCGACAGGGGCGTCGAGGACACGAATGCGGGCGCGAGTCTCCTCGCACATTTTCTTTATCAGTTCACCCTTCCGGCCAATAATACTTCCGACCTTTAGGACCGGCACGATGAGCCGAAACACGCAGTCCCCGGGCCATCCTGGCCACTTCTTGTCGGTGACCGTCGTCGCCGGATCCTGGGTGGCCGTTTCTACCGGAGCTGACTCGGATGTAGGAGGATTCTCGGTTGCTGGCTCCGACTCCGCGGCGGTGGTGGCTGTGGTTGTTGTGGCGGTTGCAGTGGCGTCAGTTGTATCGTTTAGTTGGTCAGATCCTGGCGCCTTTGCTGACCCGTTCTCGGCAGGTTCGGTAGCAACAGCAACAGCAGCAGTAGAAGCCATAAGAGATATAGATATATATGTCTGAATCTAGAGAGAGAGAGAGCGCGGGAGAGATTAGGTTAAGGTTTTAGAGAGCTGGGAGAGAGAGAAGAGGTTTTTCCGAGGGACCTGATGCGAGGTTTTAAGGAAGATGAGAGATATCTAGGGCTCGGTTGATGAGTGCACCTGAGCTGGGCACGTGACCTGCTTTTGGCTTTTTAGTATTTATTTTTTTTTTTAGGTAAAAGGCTTTTTAGTTTTTTTTTTTTCCTTTTTTCTTTTTTTCTTTTGAAACCCGCACTTTTTAAAATAGTAAATTACACCAACCTCTCTCAGATTTTGACAAATTATATCATTAGTTGTTTATTATTTTAACCTTCCCAAAATTCAATTGTTAGTAGTCCGGATGACTTTTTAAGTGTTAAGCAAGCACGTCAAGTCTCAATAAAATCAAAATAGCAAACATATAAAGTTGCTAGTGTGATAATGATAAGGTGGAACCGAACCAGAATCGGTATTTTGGCCGTTCCGGTTCTTATTTCAATTTTTAGGAACTATTGGAAACGGTTCCGGTCAGGGACGAAGCTAGGGTTGCAAAGTGGGGAAGTTAAAGATGAGAAAATTTGAAGATTTTATTTACATACCTTCATCTTTTGAAACGTTTTCAAATTTCAATTTTTTAGAGAGATGGGAAATTAGAAATAAGGGGTGGAACTCTCAGGAATTTCGAGTAGTTAATTAGTTAGGTCTTGACTCTTCTTGACTAATTGGTTAATTGGTTTGTTAGGCTGTGGCTTTGGTTAATTGAAAACAAGACTAATTCACAAAGTTGTGTTTGGACAGTCATATATAAAGGCATTTATTGGTTATAGGGGTTTTCAATTCAGTTATATTTTCCAATTCAAGAAAAAACAAAAAGGAGTATATTTTTAAATTGTAAATTGTTTTAATTTTTCTTTTTTTTTTTCCCTATTTATTTCAAATCCTAATTTTAGATCATTAGTAATAATTATAACATTTGAAATATTCTTTTTCTTATTGCATTTTAAAAATATATATTACACATTGGATTATTGGAAAGAAAGATGAACACTAATCATTGTTTGGATTACATAATTCTATTTGTTGGTTTAATTACGAAATTGGACTGACTTGTAATGTTACATTTTTTTACGGTATTATTAATTGATTGCTAAAAACTACAACCAAATAAAATTGGTTTGTTGGGCTGGAGCTTTGGTTAATTGGTTTGCTGGGCCGTACCTTTGGTTAATTGGTAATTGGTTTGCTGGGCTGTAGCTTTGGTTAATTGGTTTGCTGGACTGGGTCATTCATCATTTATATTTTTATTGTGGATTGGGCTGCTTGGGCTGGGCTATGACTGATAAGAAGTAATAGTATTTTTTTTAAAATTTTTTTTTTGGACCTGAGCTATAGCCCAAGTTAGCCCACAGTATGCTCCGCCCCTGGTTCCGATTCCAAACTTCAAAACTGAACCGTATAATAATTATAAATATATGTTTTTAATTATATATTGTAATTACTAATATATATGTCTATCGAATGCATACAAAGAGACATTAAAAATAAAATAAAAGTATGTTCTCATGTACAATAGTATATATCAAAATACACTGCGAATTGGTTTAAAGTCATTAAAAATAAATAAATAAATAAAACCGAACCGAACCGAACTTAAATTGTGGAACCGGTTTCAATTCCGGTTCCATGTCCCAACGGTTCCAGTTCCGGTTCCAATTTTTAGGAACCGTTAGGACCAGGTCCGATTCCGCCAGGAATCGGAACCCTGTGCACTCCTAGATAATGATGATTCTTGCTTCCTTTTTTTTTTTCTTTTTTTTTCCCTTATTTTTATTCCTTAGTTGATGAGTACTCACACACCTCCACTCAAGGACTTTTTGCACCGACCAAATTCCATGAGTATTTTACTACATTGTTTTCCCTATTCTTAATGTATCACGAAATGAATAGCATACAAGCTAAAAAGAGAGAAAAAGTATAATACAGCTTAAATAAATAAAGGTGAAAAATAATATGAGAAGAAAAAACACGAGAATGTGTTAGGCATCCGATAAATGAGACTGCGAGTATTAAACACTTCTAATCGCATTATTCGTGTTTTGTTGAAAGGACAACCACAACAATTGATTGTTTTTTACTTCATTTTTCCAATTACATTTGAATTTTAAGACTGTTGGGTCCTTTTCATAACACAATAAAATATATATAAATAAAATGATATACGAAACACACAGTATAAAGGACATAGAGATATATGAATGAAGGAGGAAAGGCATACTTGTTGAGGTTGAATTTCGCCGCGGTCTAGTACGACATCGTTTCCTGCAAAATAAGGATGGCAAAGTCAAACACCGGTGTGGTGCCCGCCGTTGACCCTCCAACGATCAAGTTGGCAAGGATTCTCGACAGAGAATTTTAGTCGTAATTTGCTTAGTATGAGTTTTTTTGTGTGTACCTTATTCCCGAGTCGTCTTTGTATTTATAGTCACTTCCCTTATTCTTGATAAGAGAATTTCATCGTCCTTAGCCCATGGAACCTACCTCGTGAAAATCCTATTCTTGATAAGATTTGAACTTACCCCATGACAAATCCTATCCTAGATACGATTTGTCATTATTCTCTATCGAGAATTCTTGCTAACTTGATCGTCGGAGGGTTAACGGCCGGCACCACACCGGTGTTTGACTTTGCCATCCTTATTTTGCAGAAAACGGTGTTGTAATAGACCGCGACGAAATTCATCCTCAGCAATACTAATCAGCGATAATGTTAGTGAAGGTAAGGAAGTTTTGCGTATATGTGACAGTCATTTGGCCTTGGATCCTTAATGCCTCATTTCTCTGCCTTCGACGTTTCTTGTGAGGTTAGTATTTATAGCGAGTGTCCCTCAGGCTATTATCCAACGGTCCTTGTCATGCTTCGTACTTTGTGTTGTACATGTGCACATAAGCCCTTTGGCAGCTAAAAGGTTATATCTAGGGAGGTTATATATTCTCGTATAGCCATTTCCTTATAGAACGTGATGTGCCAGACACTTATATCACGAGCATTAAATGCATCTGTCCTTACATGACTGACGACAACAAGACGAATGATGATGTTGTCTGGACATCAAATGTGGTGGTAAGGCTTTTTATCACATTATACACCTATCTTCTGGCTAACCATGCCCCTTTGCTTGTGCAAGGCATATTATGGCTTTTCATCGATCAATCCAAGATCATTCAAAGTGTAATAATGGGAGAAGGCCATACCTTTATCTCGTATTTCGCTTGTCAACGTTGAATTAAGGTATGGGTGAGCTTAAAGCTCATCAGTTAGCTTTGCTGCCCATTGTCTATTTAAGTTTGGTCCTCGAGGTTTGATGATTCGGTGAAATACCAATGTTTGATGACTCGAGGATTGGACCTTTAAAATTTTGTGACCTTGTGCGATATCGGGGTTTTATGACTCGAAGATTGAACCTTTGAGGTTTGGTGACCCATTATGGGTGAATGTAACGTGCCCACAATAATCAAAAAACGATTGGCTTTTCAAAAAGGCTTGTGGGTATAACAATCTAAAATTATTTGACTTTTCAACGTGGCATGTGGATGATATTATATGATACCTACAAAGACTAAAAACATTCCAGACTTTATGATATTATATGATACCTATAAAGACTAAGTGCAATTTTCGTTTGCAAAATTACTATTAATTATTGTTACCAAAATAAGTTTTTTTAAAAAGAATGAGCAAGAGACCTTAAGTTAACTTCATTATGCAAACTTACTATTAATAACCACAAATAGGGGATTTGAATTTTTATTTAATTTTTACTCAGTACACTAAACCCCTTTTAGTTTTAAAAAGTTGCACAATACCCCCCTCACTTTTTTTTAGGCAACAAACAATTTTTATTTATAAAGGGTTACAACTTACCCCATTTGGCAAACAATTTTTATTTATAAAGGGTTACAACTTACCCCATTTGGTAGACGGATGTCCCACTTTTGCCTTTAAACCAGTCACGTGAATTACACGACTCATTATTTTTTATTTTTTGACAAAATAACCCTTACAAATGCTGAATATACCATTCCTAATTGATTTACAAAAAAATATAAAATATTTCGTACCATATGATATTTCATAGAAAACAATATTATGGATTGATTCAACATAGATAAATATTATATATAAGTTAAAATAAGTTGACTTGAAATTTATTTATTTTTTAGTTTTTCGTTGGTAGATGATATTTTCTGAAGTTTCTCTACAAAAAATAAATATATATTTATATATATTATTGTAAGCGCCAATTCTACTTGTAATTTCAAATTTTCAAATATAGATATTTTCACGAAGTTTCTCTATTATTCATTTAGTTCCGTACTTTTTTAAAATAAAAATAAAAAACGCACACAATCTTCATGGTGTACGACAAGCAAGGTTTCATAATCCAGTACGAAAGATACATGGAACTGGGCAATTTCAATATCCCTCTGTAAGTTGCCAACTTGCCATTAGGGAAAGGCAAGTAAAAGACACCTATACTTTAAGGTATTGTACTGTCATAGTGGCCAAATCTAGTTTTTATATAGATAAAATTCCCTAAATAAATAATTGGTAAATTAAAATCATACTAGACATAAACAACTATGCATTATATATATATATATATATATGCATTATATAATATATAATGCATATATATATATATATATATAATGCATAGTTGTTTATGTCTAGTATGATTTTAATTTACCAATTATTTATTTTATATATATATATATATATATTCTATATAGCTTATATTTTATATAGAAATCAGTTCCATTATTACTTTGCTTATGTGTCCACTAGTTTAGTTATACATAAGTCGGTTTAGTTATGGTTTTTTTGTTGTTCTAAAATATTTATTTATTTAATTCAATTTCCTTATTACCGGTATAAATATAATTTCGTTTCATCTCCTTAATGACAATTAATTCTTCATTAGTCAAGGTAAGTTGCAACAAGTTAGTAAATAGAGATTGTTTGTTGTCAAAAAAAAAAAAAAAAAAAAAAAAAGGGACTAAACTTGATTACTCTGTGAGTAAGTCGTTGAAGGGTCAAATCACAAATGCACAAATAGTTTTGTATTAAAAAATTAGAAAGATGATATATAAGTACAATAAATTTTTTTTTTTATAAATAAATTCAGTCACCTTAATCACTTTCATGATTTTTCAATTGCAGTCCGTGTGTATTTTTAATTGCACTACATTAGTGGTGACTAGATAAGTCTTGTCAAAAATAAAATAAAAAATAAAGGGTATTATGCAATCTTTGGAAACTAGGGGGGAGTTGAATGCACTAAGGTTTTTTATTTTTATTTTTAACATGATTGTTAAAAATATTATAGTAGAGATAATGGAATTATGTTCTATGATGATTTATTATGAATTTATGTATATGCTGATTACTTTTTTTTTAATTTCAAATTATATATCAATGTTAGAATAAAAATAAGAGGAGTGCTATACATATAAATTCACAATCGCTTAGCCACATAAAACAGCCTTACCATTAACTCCCTAGATCATATAAATAATGCAGGTAGTTTTTTGAATTCATAGATGCACAGTGATAGGTTGCATTTGGGATTCTCACACACATATAATATATATTTTTCCTTTTACCTTTTTTCATTTCAGATTAAATATTTTGAACTATAAAATCATCTAAAACATTATTCTATCGAAAAAAGAGAGTAAGGAAATGACATAAATGGGATAGTTGAGTTCTCCCACATAATGCCAACTATGAGGTATCTTCCCCTGTAAGCTTTATGAGGAGTACTTCATTAGAACCAGTATATAACTTTAAACATTCGAACTTTCTGCACACACCAATTCAATCTCGAGCCCTAGACAATGTCTGGCGAAACAAAGTTCAGCGTCTTGTCCAGTCTCTTCAACTGGATTCAGAAGAGCAAGACGTCGGCAAAGAAGAAGTCGAAGTTCAGGAAGTTTCTGGACAACTTCTGCAAACCGTCGGACTACTTCAGTGCCATCAGGTTGATCCTACCGAGCCTGGATCGAGAGCGAGGCACGTACGGCCTCAAGGAGTCTGTTCTCGCCACCTGCCTCATCGACGCCCTTGGCATGTCCAGGGAGTCCGACGACGCCCTCCGCCTCGTCAATTGGCGGAAGGGCGGAGCCAAGACCGGCGCCAATGCCGGCAATTTCTCGCTCGTTGCCACCGAGGTGGGTTTTGCGCAATCTAGTGTTCTTGGTTTTGGGTATTGACGTTTTGTGCGTTTTTTTGATATATTAGTCGTTAATTTTGTCATCTGTTTGCTTGAACTAAAATTAACCAATTTCTGTATAAGAGACGGTTCATGAAATGGTAACCCTCAAAATGATCTTTTGGATTAATTAAAGAAACATTTTGACAACAAATATGAAAAAGGATGGACACATTTGGTGTAGTGGATTAAAAATATAGTAAGATTGTTTCGGGCATCCTATAGCACCCTATACTTCACCACTGGGCCTATACAGTCTCCCATCGAACATACACCAGTCAATTAGTGGATAATTTTCCATGGAGAAGGGTGTCTGCTACTTTAGCTAATAAAATTATAAAATGCTAAGGACTGCGACAATAGGACAAGGAAGTAGGTGGTGTTATTGACAATAGGATAAGGAATTAGTTGTTGTTATGTTAATATAGTACCACGTCCTTGGTAAAGGGGAAGAAGAATGTGCAACCTTTAGGAGTGTATGGAGAGATTAGAGAGTACACTTTCCTCCATCATTGGACTGCAAAAGGTGGTTGCTATTACAATGCTTAAAACCTTAATATGCCTCAAGATGTTATCTTTTGGATAGCAGGATTTGAGTAATACTGAATGATACATCATAAGAATATATTACTAATAAAATCAATATTTCAACACAAGTAGCCTGGCTGTCAATGCATTCTACATTTTATGCCAATAAGGCAACGTAATGGAAGGCAAAAAAAAAAAAAAAAAAAAAAAAAATGTAGTCACAATCAATAGTCAAAAAGATGCTTTATTAATGGACAGCAATGTGCAGACTACCAAGGGAAGGGGCAAGACTAATAGGCATAGACTCATGGACATATGTAGTAGGGCTTATATTTACTTGATTGAACAATGAATGAAATGGAAGTGTATACAATATGTAAGAGATGCAACCAATTATTTACATCTTAATACTATCTAGCGATGGTTCTGAAAATATTGAGATTATAGTACTTTATTTTTTACAATGACACTCTAATGATGGGTTATACTTTTTATTTTTGTAACAAGCATGCCCAAAGCATTCCATTTTGACGGGACAGTCATTTTTTGGGGCCATTGACACGGGATGCACACCGAGAGGTGGCATTCCTCCGGTTCATGAACCCGCTAAAACCATGTTACTCTCGTGAGTTTTGAAATAAAAAAAAAGATTCGCTTCATCCATAATCTTCTCTGAGCCTTACGAGCTTCCTTATAGATTAATGGCACATCCAATCCATATTGGCATTTAGTGCATTTTTAGTTTTATTCTTAAGAGTCTTAAAATCAAATTGGACGGGAATCATGGTTTATCACTTTATCTTGATTTGAAGAGGCTTGAATGCCTGTCTAGATCATTTTAATTTATTGCTTTATCGTAAAAAGGTGGCTAACCCAATGAAACTCCCATTTTTGTGTTTACAAGTAAGTTTAAGGATGTAGTTATCCCTATTTAGGCTTTTATGCTAATGTTTATTACAAAGGCTTCATGATTATATTATTAGTTACTGGTTGAGGCATGCTTCTTGCTAGAAGAGCTTGTGAGGGCCGGTTTGGACTTTGGAGTTTGAAAGATTAAAGTCTTGCTGTTTTTGGATGCTAAGCTGCTATAATTTTCTTGAAGCGTTGTTCTATGGGAACTATACATGACAGGCTATTGTAATTATTCTAGCGTTCACCTGAAGTCATTTTCCTTGAAGTTGTTCTCAGACACTCCCAACGTAAGTGCTAGAGCACAACATGAGATGGCTTGGTATGTCATAAACATTAACCTGGTGGGCTTTATGCTGTGGGATTCAAGTTGGATGGCATGATCTGATATCAAGTTTCAAACCTTGACATCATTGAACATTGTTGCTTTATGCATGACACCTAGTGTGGCTCTGTTAATCAAGGGTGTTGGGAGAAATATATAGGATATAAACCTAACTTTTGACATTATTTACACAAAGTGGCTACCTTTTCTTACGCTTGACAGTCCAAGCATTTATCAATGCACCAAGCAACGATGCCTTTGCTTTAGTCATGGAAGAGAGAGAGAGAGAGAGAGGAGGGAGGGAGGTGGTTTGACTAAGGGATCATGTTCGTCCAAAATACTATATATCATATTCCATGGATATGGTGTTAACCGTGTTATAATAATTTATTTTCTTTTATTTGTGTACCAGGTGCTGCAACGCAGGCAGGGGATGACTTCTGGTGGACTAACAATCAAGGAATTAAATGACTTGCTTGATCGCTTGGCTTCGAGTGAAAATAGGTATATGAGTTTCATTTTTGTATTTTATAATGTTAGTTGGTAGTTGGTCGCCGCAGAATGTTGCAGCATGAGGAACTGATTGAGAAACATTTTCTGTCCCCACATTTGATGTAGTTCTCTTTAGTTTCTGCTCAATTAGGTTCCTGTTCTTTGCATTTCTGGACTAATTAACTTCCTTTTCGTGATGAAAAGTAGCTTTCCAATATAACGTGCATTTATTATCTGAACATCATTTTCCTTGCAGATTGTAGATAAGCTGTAGTTTTCTGCTTTCAATATAACAGGGAATATACTTTGCTTCAGAATGGAATTAGCTGGGAAGTTTTGGAAAAAAATTGTCTATTGTTGTAGGCTTGCGGCATTGCAAAGTTTTTCCCTATTATTTTTTGTTTTTTGAAAAGTCCTATTAATTTTTGTTTTATATTGGAACCAAGTTTTTTTTTAATAAAAAAAAATGTGGAAATGGATATGGTATTGTTGTGAATGGTTAAACAAAATATGCCATAGTTAATGTATACTACATCCAAGTCATTAAGTTTTTGAGTTGTCTCATCAAGCCAAGGTTCTGGACTGCATAAAAATTATCTGATGATTGTTGGTTATATGTTCAGAACTTAAAGACTATGTTTAGAAAGTATGGACACATCCAAGTGCATGAGTTTTTGAGAAGTGTCATCATGTGACATGTGGTCTATGCAGCATGACTCCTAAGTTGGAAGTGTTGGTTTACTTGGGTTAGAGGGCATTTCACATGTTAAAATATAGCAAATATATTTATGTTGCTAGAATTTTTACCTAAATAATTACGCTATTATTGCATATTGTTTTTTGCAAAAGATATTGAATTTCTGGGTGAATTCTTTGCCTTGTAAGTTTAATCTTGATTGAAATGAAGGTTCAAGGATGATTTCTACATAATTTATATAGGACTTCACGTTTGGCTGATATTGTTTGCAGATTTAAAATGTTATTAGAATCACACAATTATTACTAGATTTATGGTCCTGAGATGACCTGGTTGCTATCTCACTAAACATGCACGGTTCATGGTTGATATGGATGATACAACCGGACATTTGGATGAGTGAAGCTCATAGTATGGTTTCTTTGTAGTGGGAGGAGATAATATTTTGGGACTCTTCAAGACTATCCAATTTGACTTGCAATTAGCCGAGATATTGGACAATGTTTGTGATATAAGATTTATTTTTTTGTATCTGACAGAAATATAATGAAATAGGGTATTTGTCTTGTTTAGCATCTTCAAATGAAATCCTATGGAGTCCAACTATCAATGACTAGAGGTATAGATGAAATTGTATTATGTTGATGCCGAATCTATTGAGTTATACCATCTTTCAATTGATACTTGATGAATGATGTAATACTTTTTACATAAGAACTGTATTAAGTGGATGTATTTGATGTTAACATTAGGAAAGTGTTTAGAATCACAGTACGGGAAGCATGCCTCAGACATAATCATTGGGATTGTATGGACGAGTATACATATTAAGAACACTGTTTATGTGTGTGTTGTTTGTATGTATGTACACTCACACACACACACACATATATACATAAATTTGGGGTAACAATAATTAGTTACTATTACAACGTTTAAGTATCTCTTTAAAATTTGTCTATTTATCAATTAGACTGTTGGATTATATGCCTTACAAATATCAGGTTAATTAGATTTAAGTAATCCATAAACTTATATTATTCATTATAAAATAATAGGACAAAGTTCAACTGAAAGTGTGATGTTGATGAGGGAATTCTAAATCTCCGACTACTTTTATATTTAACTTTCGTAAAAAATTGAAGTGGACATCCAATCCAACATCTCGATTGTCAAAAGATGAATTTTGCAAAAAGAAGTTGTTGGATGCATGATTAACTTAATTTTACATCAGGTCTAAATACTTGAAACATAATATTGATGAACCTTTTTGTTGGGCTAATAGGATGCAGGTTGGCAAATTCTTAGAGCAAAACTGAGTTTGTAACTTTTGTTTTAATTTCTAGCTTAGATTAGAAATGTTCAAAAGTTAGTGTTTGTTACCTCTTAAGGTCGAAGATGGAATTTATGCTACATTCAAGGATAATATGATAATCTTTCTCTTCAAGGACATAAAGGTAAATTGACAAATTGATGCACATACCAAATTAGGATTCATGCATGCATATCTAAGGTTTCCAGACCTTCATGCTTCAATCTTATTTTGATTCCCTAAATTGTTTTAAATTTCCATGAAAAGAGCTTTGGAAATTTCCTTATTGTAAATTTTCTTAGTATAAAATCTACAGAAGACTTCAATCCATCGAGGGATTGATTGAAGGCCTCTGGAGTGTTGTTGATTGATCAATGACAATTTTGATTGATCGAATCTTTCGGAATAACAATTTTTAAGTTGATTTTAAATTCTGCCTAACCTAATCTCTCTATACTACTTTGTTTCCTATATAAGTACTATGTTAGGGTAGAATACAGATACCCAGATTATTGTGAGTTTTGAGAGTGCATCTCAGTTTTCTTTTACGTTCATCATTTGTGTGCATTGGTGATTGTAATCTACATGTGTTGACGTCTGTTGCTTTGCACTACAAAGATGAGTTCACCATTATCTTTCAATCCACCATTTGATTGAAGTCTGGACTCAGTGGTTGAGACTGAATTATTAGAGAAATGGGTTCATGAGGAGCAGGTGCTGTTGGTGAGTGGAAGAACTATCTAGAGACTTTTGGGGGGAAAAGTTTGGAGTCTTTTGTGTCAAGAGGTAACTAGGGAATTCTTGGGGTAGAATTTGTTAACCTAGGTTGTAATCTCTTTCTATTATAGGGAATTTGGTTTACCTGGACGAGGTCTACTTAGAGTTTTTCACGTAAAAATCTGATGTTCATTGCTTTACTTTTAATGTCTTACATCTTTGTGGATTGTTTAGATTTTTACCATATGCTATGTTTGAATTTGAATTTTTTTAAAAGTTGTTTTAAATTAAAAATAAATTGTTAAAATCAGTTAATCATCCTATAAGGCCTATTCACCCTCCCTCTAGGTTTAGATCAGTGGACCTCGCGTGACTCTCTATTAGAGCCTCGGTTCCAGTCCTTACTCTCATCAGTTTCTATCGCTGTTATACTTCATTTCACATTAGTCATAACTTTTTTCTTCTTTTCAGATAAGTTATTTCCCCATACGCTACTTATAAAAAAAAGAAGTCATTTCACCATATGCTATTGTGTTATGCATGAAATAAATTATGCTTTAAATTTTACTTCAGTACTAGCTTTGAGCTGCTGTTAAGGTACTAATAGCTTTCATTTTCTGCGTTACAATTCTGTTTATTGATTTCATGAAATATAAACTCTTTCCTCCATTTTCTTCTGGTTTACTTTTCAAACTATTAAAACAGGGAAGAGAAGGCTTCTGTCCTTTCTGAACTGATCAGGAAAACAAATGCACAGGAAATGAAGTGGATTATCATGATAATTCTTAAAGGTTTTGCATATTACTTTTTAAAATTTAGTTTTTTTTTGTCCATTATAGTGTGTTTAAACTATGAGCTTCTCTTCTCAGATCTGAAGTTGGGAATTAGTGAAAAAAGCATCTTTCATGAATTTCATCCGGATGCCGAAGACTTGTTCAATGTCACCTGCGACTTAAAACTAGTCTGTGAAAAGTTGAGGGACCGAAGTCAACGACATAAACGCCAGGTTCCATTCAAGCTTTGGAATAATTCCTTTTTTTTCCTTTGCTTGTCCTTTGGTATAGCCACGGGAGTTTAATTTTCTTTGACTTATCAAAAAAAAGTTTAATTTTCTTTCGCTGGTTTTGTGAGATATCTTGTCAGAGTTCAAGTGTGTCTCACCTTGTAAATCTGACTTCAATGCTGTATTTGTGGCATCAGTTCTTCTGGGTGTCTTGGTGCATTTTGTGATGAATAATATTTCACTTTCCTCTCGCAAAACAGAGATATTTGATGGACATATACCTATATTTCAAGGTTATTTTGAATTATTAGTTGTCAAGGTTATTTCAATTTTAAACGTTCAACTCAATGCTGCAGAATAATTGCTGTTTTGAAGTTCACATTCTTCATGTAACATTTCAGAATTGTCAATGATATAAGCATGCCATTTATTTAGCAAGAAAAGTTTCAATTTTCTAAAAAATTCCTTTTCTCAACTTTGGCTTTGCTACCTAAATTTTCTTTGCAGTTCAACAACTCAACTAAACAAAGTATTCGGTTACATGAATCCTATTTTTCCATAACCTCAGTGAAACCACACGTTTTCATATATTTCCTACTAACTCTACTCACGCTAACTTTGATCTTCCTCTTCCTCTAAAATTACTTTCAATGTGGACCATGTCACTCTTCCTATCTGACGCACTTACTGGTCTTCCTTCACATTTCCAACCATCTTAATTGATTTTCTCTCATTTTATCTTCAATTGGTGTTACTTCAATCACCTCACCTTATCGATATGTTGTTTCTTAGCTGCCTAACAATTTTACCACAAAGAACGGCTGGTCTAATAGCTGTTTTAGATAACTTCTCTTTCAATCTTAGTGAGATACGTTAATCACACAATATACTAGATGCATTCCTCCATTTAACCCATTTTGTCTTATTCAGTTATTACCATCATCTTTTCTCTTTTATTATGAATAATTAAGCCTAAACAATGGAAATGTTCAATCTTTTGTACCTCTCGATCTTCGATTTTTACTTTATCCCTTGTATTTCTAGATTTATTGAAGTTACACTCCATATATTTAGTTTTAGTCCTACTTATCTTAAACCCTTTTAATTCTAGAAATTCTCTCGAAACCTCCAATTAGCACTTACTCTTTCTCTAGTTTCATCAATTGAAACAATATTATGCGCAAATAACACACTGATGTAGGACAAGAGAGCAGCCTTAAATAGCTAAGAACTCAAAGAATTCAGAGTCTGAAAGTTCAAGAACTAGGGCAGAATTTGGAGGTTTGATAGTAGAAATGTAGAAAACCAAAGGAGAAGTGGTTGTTAATTAAAATAAACAGAGCTATGGTTCAAAATATTTGTAGAGAGAAAGGATTGAAAACAACAAAAACCTACTGGAATCACTCCAATAGGGTCTAGGCATCACACCTAGGGAAGGCCTCACACCCTCAGAATTTGTGAATCACTCACAAAGAAATCTTAAAAGATATTTTTATTCATTCATTGACTGCCTCAGCAAGTTTACATCATACCCTTCTTATAACAACTTATGACCCTCAGATTACCCCATGATTGAGGTAATTAAAAGTTGACTCTATAGCATAATAAAATTAATCACCCCGTAATTGAGGTAATCAATATTTGACTCTAGCATAATAAAAGTAATTACTATGGACGGATGTAATTTGATCGAAATTGATGCAAGCTACCATAATTATGCAATTTGACCAAATCCCCCTAATTATGCAAGACTCCAAGTGGAAGCTACCATAATTATGCAATTTGACCAAATCCCCCTAATTATGCAAGACTCCAAGTGGACCCATCGTCTAGCATGTGCCAAATTAAGGTTTGAGCCTTAGAACCCTCCTTGCCACGCCTTTTATATACCTCAAAAGGCTGCTGCCACTGTTCTCTATCACACACGTCATGGAATTTCATCCTCAATGCTTCTTGTCAGTTCATCCATAACTAAGGCAAAATAATATGGGTTTAATGCTGAGCCTAAAGTAAGTGAAATTCTCTTGTTTTCCCACAGTCGTTCTAGTGATGGTCACTCATCCATCATACATGTCATTTATTGCATCAATATATCCCTTTGTAACTCGTTTCTTTTCTAAAACCCTCCATATTAGATCTCCAGGTACCCTATCAAAAGCTTTCTCTAAATCAGTGAAAATCATATAAAGACCTTTCTTCTCTTCTCTATATCTTTCTTTTTTTTTTTTTTTGGCTTTTTCTTAATTGGTACTCACACACACATGCCTCTACCGAGGCTCGAACCCCTGACCTCCCTTTGGGAAGTAGGAGCCTGGTACCACTAGGCCACTGGCCTGTTGGTCTCTTCTCTACATCTTTCACTTAGTCTATTCAATAAGTAAATAGCCTCCATTGGTGATCTTGCTGGCATAAATATGCCTTGCAGCAAAAATTTAAATCTGGCAATATTTGGGTGTTGAACCAAACACTCACTTCTACTCTTAAAGTATACCTCAATGCTTCCCAAACATTAGTATCCTTGGCAAAATATCTCACTACTGAGTCCTTGAAAGATATATTTATCCTGCGAAATTGAAAAACAAAACAATATTAGCTGTGAATCTGTGATATTACCTGTAATATGCATTATAAAGGCTTAATGCATGGGGCTACGGGGTAAGACCTCCGCATGCACTATGTAATACTTCAGGTGTTTTATTGTTTAGCAACTAAAAAAATTATTAAGTGGAAGTGAGAATAATCACAATTTTATTTGACCAAGGAAAGAAAGAATAATGCACCAAAATGCAGGTGCTGCACCAAACACTGGTGGTTGTTTCTTGTTGTGAGTGAGTGCAGATTAGTAACATGCACAAGTATGTATATACATTGTGTGGTTTATTTGTGTGTGAAATCTGCACAGCTATAATGAGTGTGCAAGATGTATCAGTGATGAAACAAGTAGAGTTAGTTGGAAAATCGTACGACCTCAACTAGCATTAAAATCTGCACAGCTGTAATGGTTTGTTTGCATTCATTCTTTTGCAGGACATAGAAGTTGGAAAACCTGTACGCCCTCAACTAGCATTGAGGATTGGTAATGCAACTGCTGCATGGAAAAAGGTCTGCACTTGGCATAGATTTTGTATTTCAACTAATCTCATATGCTCAGGTCAAATATTATAATTCTCTGGAGATAATAATCATTAAAGCAGTTGTTAAAAGAACAAAATTTGGAAGTAACTATTTCACTTATTTTTTATTTTATCAAAGTTTTCTTCTTCTCCCCCCTCCCTTTTTTCTATGATTTTTACATGATTGCTCATTAATTCATTTTCATCTGTTATAATCTTTTCCCTACTGTCCAGCTTCATGGGAAGGAAGTTGTTGTTGAATGCAAATTTGATGGTGACCGCATCCAAATCCATAAGAATGGAGCAGATGTTCATTTCTTCTCGAGGTAGTTGCACACCTGAATACCTGATGGTCATCAGTCATCTCTTAACATTATTATTATGTCACTTTATCTTTGTCGTTATTTTACATGGTGGATAGTAGATAATTACTTTACTAATTCCATGATTGTCTTTAATTTTCTAAACTCCCTTGAGTATTTACAGTTCCATGTATGATATATGCAATTTGGCAGTGCCATTAAAAAAGGATAATAGTGTTACATTAACCAAAAGCTTCTAGGATCCAGTTATCACATCAACAGAATATTTTCAACATTAAACCCAATGTAATTTAGTAAAATGCAATTCATGCATTATGTTATTGTTGCAGGAACTTTATTGATCACCCTGAATATGGACATGCAATGTCGAATATCGTTATACAAAATATTCTTGTTGACAGGTAAGAATCAAACATCATGTTGGCTTTTAAAAGAACATAATTGTAGCTGCCTTTCCTTTGTTTGATCTCTATTTGTCTAGATCATGCAGTGATTTGGAACACGGCTTGATTGGGCAGTAAGACCAGTTGAAATCATCATCAATCTTGGTTATAAGTTTTAAGATATTATGAGTTCGGGAGCAGCTAGGGAGAAATATAGAATATGATTTTTTTTTTCTGTGTATGTTTACTTCTTTTTTTTGCCCCCTAGTTGTATGTTTACTTCTTTCAATTCATTGATTTCACCAAACACCTCTATAAAATGCAATTATCCAGTCTTTCCTGCATGGGGTGCTTGGAGAGAAATGTTGGAGACAGACTTAACCTTTGCATTATTTTGCATAAAGTTGCCACTCTTAAAGTTGAACATGTGTACTCATACTTATTAGCCTGAACTTTTTTCATTGAACCAAGCAATAACCTCTTACCCAGTAACATTATTATAATATATATATATTTAGATCTTTTGTTTTTTTCTCTCTCTCTCTCTCTCTTTTCAATCCTAGATCATGAATAATTTAAGCTGTGCAAGACTTCTACATGATTAGAGAAATGTCTTGGGTATGGGAACATTTCAATCTTTTTGCGTGTAACATCTATGTTGTATATGACCACTATTCAACTTCATTTTTCATATAAAATCGTACTTGTTTTAATTGGCAGTATGACTATAACACCTAGTCCTGCTTACAATTTATTACTTAACTTTGGCTTGCTTAAATTGCGTCTGCCATTCAGAACCAACATGCACATGCATATTCTTGTTATAGAATGAAAATATATTGGAAAAGGTCTTAAGCCTTCTAAGTTGAGAGTGATTTATGGTTTAACTTTGAGGGGCTTTGTCATTAACGATGTTGGTGGTAAGTACCACATTGAAATACCAAGTGTGCCACCTGTAACCACAGTACTTTCTGGGTTGTATTTGATAGTGCAGATGTTGCACTAAATGACATATAAGAAAATTATGCTCCTCTATTTGGTACAATATGCACGATAAAAAGACCAACACTGGAGTATGGTTTGTGAGATATTGTTCTATGTCTAGCAGGATGAGAACCATATTCAAACAGTGGCCCAGGCCATTTCATTGTATGCCATTCCTTGTTCTCTCCTGTGCAACAGTATATGCAAGTCTCTTGATAAATTGATCTGCAAGTTTTTTGGTGGAGCCCCAAGAATTCCTTAGATCACTTGAGTCCTGTGCTTCAAAAGCAACTGAAGTTTGGGATGTAGACTGTAGTTAGATTAATCATTTCTTACAACTTCCCGCTGTTGAATAATCATCTTTTGACCTCAATGTGACGATGCAGAGTACTTTTTTATCTTTACTGTGATGGTGATGGAGGAAACTTGGATGAAATGTAACAAATTATTATTTTTTTTTTTGGGGAAAACTAAAAAGTGGACTTAGAGGACTTAAATAACAAAATCCTGGACTTTTAAAGTCCACTTTTCACTTATGTTGAGTTAGAAAAAATAATTTTAAATATATGGAGAATCACTCTTCACTCCTTTTCCATGTCAAGAATGTCCTCCCACTTCACTTTCGAAAGTATGAATTAAAAGTGGTACCTTAGCATACTAAAAGTTATACGTTAGTGTACAAAATGTGGTACCTTATTTCACCAGTAGAAAATGATTTTGCACTGATGCAAGACTCTATGGTACCACTTTTAGTACCAACTTTACTTTTAAAATTATGAATTAAAAGTGGTACCTTAGTGTACTAAAGTGATGCATCTGTGCACAAAATGTGGTACCTTATTTCATCAGTAGGAAATTATTTTGCAATGATACAAGACTCAATGGTATCACTTATAGTATTATAAGGTACCACTTTTAGTATTCGAACACACTACATTTTCTACGGTAAGGTTGCTTTTAGCACGTATGTTAACTAAGGTTAGTTTAGTTCAAAATGAAAGATGGAGTGCATTTTGAATACGGAAAAAGAATTGATTGTTATTCTCCATGTATGTGAAGTTATTTTGCCCAACTCAACCTAAATGAAAGGTGGACTTTTACTTATTTAAAAAAAGAAAGGTGGACTTTGAAAGTCTACCATTTTGTTATTTGAGACCCCTAAGTCCACCTATATGCAATTTTCCCTTCTCTCTCTCTCTCTCTCTCTGAATATTACATAAAGGATCCTGTTGCTCAGTCAGTTCTAAATCATAGGCGTTCCTAGCATGTATCTGTCAACTGAAGCCATAAATTCTTTGCCAGGGTGTTTTTGGTTGTATGGCCGGTTTCATCATCCAGTGGATTTCCCCTTAATCACATGCTTCCATATTTTGGATTTCCCCTTAATCCCGTGCTTCCATATTTGTTTCTGTTGAAGTGCAAGGAAGGCCATTGATATTATATTTAGCTTAGCACGGTCAATTTTATTTTTGAAGGTGACGCCTATTGTTTCCTCCGTCCTCTATAATTGGGGCTTGTCCCCCCTATTTGGCCCTTGTTGTTTGTTATTGCTAATGCCAGACATGGTCTGTTCACCTTAATCTTAGCAGTACTTAGGAGATTCCAAATACTCTTGGCCGCAGCACCCAAATATTTGGTCTATGGACTCTCTCTTGTCGTATTATGTTGGGTGCTCTATTTGCTTCTGCTCTTCCTATTTTAGTTTAGGTCCTGTTAATTTGTTCTGTTTGTGCCTTCAAATGATATTTATCACTTCTAAGAGAAAACCAAGAGAGGTGGCAGTTTCCAACCAGTAGTTAAAATGACATAACTGTTCCTCCACCAAATGACAACAGAGTTTGAACTATTAGAAAGGATCATCTTGTTGTGGTGTTATCTTGTTTCAAGAAAAAGCTAGATATTCCTGTGGGAAACTCACTATTTTACACGATATGTGATTTTAAACTGGCAAGAAGCTTGCTCCATTCATGTCCTGAAAGGATAGTTGTTTTTTCTATCAATAATGAAAATTTGACTGCCATTTCATTATGATATGAAGGTCATGGTCACTTTTACCTGTGTACCTCCTTTCTTTGCATTAATTATTGTCCTTCATCATATTAGGGCAATTCTTTGCTTGAAACAACCAAAGGAGTAGAGGTAAGGATAAAATATATGTTCTTCAATTGGGCTTTTGATCTTAGGCAGTTGGACACCAATATCCCTTAAGCTTCTTGAAAATGATTGTTGATTGCCTCCTTTATCTGTGAGAAGTTGTAAAACATGTGCCTTTTTCTCTACTGGTCACTTGCAGACGAGACATTCTAGCTTCAGGGACTAACCATGGACTTGTCACTTATTCCCCATGCTTCACAATCTTCAGAAAGTTCATATGCTATAACTTCCTTATTCGTGTATGGGATTGCATATAATATAATAACTTTTCTGCTGGTCTCATAGACTTTGTCATTTACTAATTTCATTGAGTTTATAAAGCATGGTACTTATTTTAGCTTATCTTGACTGTTCTGTTCTCCTTTGGTTTTAGGTGTATACTTGATGGTGAAATGCTGGTCTGGGATACATCCACGAACCGTTTCGCTGACTTTGGTTCAAATCAGGAAATAGGTTTTATACTTCTTGGTCCATTTTCTTGCATCATTATCCCCTCATTGTCTAAATATTCGTTGCATTGCATATATATGTTTTAATCAAATCTTTTTTCCTGTTTCGTAGCCAAGGCTGCAAAGGAGGGGCTTGACAGTGACAGACAGGTTTTCTGCTGTATAAAGTTTGCTATATTGTTATTGTTTTTAGAAACCACTTCCCACAATTTTAATTTTTGATTTCTTCTAGTGCAGCTGTGCTGTATCCTTTCTTGAATCTGCATTTTTTTATTTTGAGAGATCCACCCCTGGCTTTTCAGGTGCCATCGTTTACTTCAAATGGTAAAAAAAGTTTGAGCAACCAAAGTTCCTATTTCTAGAATTTTAACCCACATACTGGATGAACTTGATGTTGTTTAACTTGACATAAGATGTGGCTAGATGTTGCGTTTGATATTCTTTATGTTGGAGATACGAGTGTTATTCACCAAAGCTTGAAGGAACGGCATCAGCTTCTACGGAAAGTTGTGAAGCCTATAAGGGGCCGTTTAGAAATTTTGGTTCCTAATGGTGGTCTTAATGCCCATTGTCCTTCCGGTAAGGATACTACTAGAATTTAGTAGTTTATTTTCTTGTTATTAGACATCATTCATGTCTTACTTGCAATGATTAATGGGTTATTACTTATAATAGTTGCTTGAAAAGATTTTACTCGTTTAGTTACTTTAGTGGATTATTATCGTTGACTATATAGTTTAAGTTAGCTAGTTTTGTTGGTACTTTAATGGTTATAGTTGTAGTATTGTTCAAAATAGGGCTGCACCCAAGGAACTTTTCTGGGCAAGTCCAAGCTCAAGCGAGCTGTACAGTCCACATGTCTTGACTGCAGATCAGTTTAATTTCTACTGTTTAACCAAGGGTCCATTCAGTCTGATGGGTGTTGACTGTTGGGATTTAATTGTATGGAAAAGTGGGTAATCAGGTCCTCTCAGTTGCTTAATTTGCCAACTGGATTTCTTGGACTGACAGGCAATCTAGCAGCTTTAATTTCGAACTTGACATCGGATTAATGACAAATGTTTTTCTAATGCCATTGTTCTTGGCAGATGCCTTGGAATTCTACATCCAGGACAGCTTACAACAAACATGTTGTCCTTGTTTTTCTTTTTCTCTCCCCACTCCTTTTTTATTTTTTTAATTTTTTATTCCAGAGGGGTGGTGCTGGTGGTGTTTCTTATTGTATGCGTGGTATTATCCTTGGTTTTAGGAATCGAACCAGGTCCTTAATTCACTTTTAGCTCTTTTTAGCAAAGAACTTTCGTTACTTTTGTTTTGGAGGTTCCTTAGTTCAAGCTGGAAGGGTCAGACCCTGACTCACTTGTTACCCACATCTAGACAGATAGAAGCAGAGAAAAAGCAATATCATGGTATGCATGTTATAGTTGAAAAAAATGGGTAATTATACTAATGAATGAAGAGGCTTCTCCTTTCTATTTTTGAAATGTGATATGGTCCATATGGGACATGATGGGAGGTGCATCCGAAGGAGACACATGAAGAACTTAGATCATCTTGTTGTTCCCAGTTGCTTGCATAATTGTTTTCCTGTATGGCATTAACACTCATTAATGTATAATTTATAAATTAACATTGAGGGGCAGCTTGAGGTTCAAACATTATGTAATGTAAGTGCCTTTTTTCCAAGGCAGAGTTTGAGAGGATGCAAAACCAAATTGCTATGGGAGTAAAATGGTTATAGGTATTAAGTCCCACTTGTTGCCACAGGTGCCACGTACGCAGCCATGCATGATGCTTTTGCGACTATAGTTAGAACGACTGGAGGGGAAACAAGTGAATTTCTAAGACACATTCAAGACAAGATTGAGTAGAATCTCTCCCAACATTAATTACTGTAAAAATATGCATGTGATCTTAACCTTGAAAAGGTGTAAAAAAATGAAACATATAGTTTCCTAGGTTCAGCTGTACTTAAAGTTGGGTTACATTTTTTAATCCAAACCATCCGCGGGGCATAAAATATACCTGTTTAAACCTTATTATTGCCTGGATCCAATGTTGAAAGTGGTTTAACAATTGTAGGGATGTGATACTGCACTCCACTTGATCTTTAGTAAAGGGGATACAATTATCTCTCGGCTGTGAAGTGTAAGAGTAGTTTTTGGGAATTTTTCTGGAGTGCGAGAACGCTTTTAAAGGACAATTGATTCAGTCCCCCCTCTTGTTTATTAAAAAAAATTAATAATTAGAAAGTGGTGTGTGAATATTATCTCCCTCATTTCGGTTACATTGCAAAATCTGCAAAGTCTCGTATTGCTGTATTAGTACTAGGTTATTAGGTGACTATTGTAATGATTTAGCCTTTTCTTCTCTTAAGTTTTTCAGTGCATGAAGTACATTGTCCCATGTCGGGAAGTTTCTTCTTAATTTTGTGATTGTTTTCCCATATGTTTAGATAAGGCTGATATATTCTTTCACTAATTTCTACCACATAATGTCAATCGTCACTACCAAGTCTGTTGGAAAAGCGGTTCATGTTACTGTTTTTATCAAAAGCTACATATTGTTCTTTGGTTTCACTTAAATTAAGTCATATATGTATGTTTGATTCTTTTGGGACATAGTGTCTCGGTTTCTGTCACTGAACACAAGGCTCTTAATCTCCTGCTTATTGCTGACTTACTGGCCATACAGGGGATCCGTGTTGGTCATTTATTGCTTATAACGTGGATGATGTTGAGAGGTTTTTTAAAGCAACTGTGGAAAACAGGTAAGCAGTCTTTTTGGAGTCCAACATATAGTTACATTGTGTGGAGTTATCTAATTGTCTTATCTTGGTTATGCATCGACAGTTGAACACGTTAAATACATTATTCTTTCCTTTTCCAATTTTCAATTTTTGTAGAATTTTAATTTAGGGTATGATTAGACGAGAATAGGCATGAATTGATGCATGTATTCATGTAATTTACAGGGTAAATGCAAAATGAGATATAACTAATGCTGTTGTAAATCTTCAATTATCATATTGTATTAAACATGGTTTCTGCAAATTTGTATGATGAATTTTCGGCACCAAGAAAATGAAAAGAACCATAGAGACTTATTCTTTGTGCTCGAAAACTTAGAGCAACAAAATACTTCCCCTCCTAATTCAAGATGATTCATGAATTTCCTACTAGGAGCATAGTAAGTAAGAACACTAATTTAAAATTTTCATCTCGCCTGGAACAACACATTTCTTTCTTTAGGAGACAAATGAAGAAAATCATATTTTTGTGTTTCAAACTTCTCAAATCCAAACCTAAAGCTAATATTCTATTGTATTAAATATTTATTATTAAGGTTCACTCTTTAATCTAATACCAGTTAGATAAATACAACAATATAACCATTAACCGTCTGTTCAATTGTTAAGTGAATAAGTTGGGTTAGGATTGGTTCCTACACGATACTGTTGACCCTTGGTTTTTAAGGTTTAGTGTCAGCCTTTGATTGATTTGACCAATTTTGCAAGTGTAATTTCATGCTTCAGTAGAAATATCACATAATGATTTTTTTTTTTTTAATAAGTGAAATATCACATAATGATTATCTTTGATGTTCTTCAGTTCACTACTACAGTTTCAAAAATATTGGAAGTTCTATTGCTTTATTGTAATACTCTCTTATTAATCTGAAACTTGAGTGGCCCATAACTCCATAAGTCGTCTGCTTATTCAATCTCCTACATGTATGATAATATTTGCTTTCTTAGAGATGAAGGAATTGTTCTAAAAGACTTTGGTTCCAAATGGGAACCAAGTGATCGGAGTGCAAAGTGGTTGAAGTTGAAGCCTGAGTACATTCGAGCTGGCTCTGATTTAGATGTTCTCATCATCGGTATATAATTGTTTTCCCTTAACTCTGTTTGCTCCAAATTCAAAGTAGTGCATTATTTGTAGCTTATTTAAGCTTTGTCTGGATACTTGTCAATAGGAGGATACTATGGTTCTGGACGTCGTGGAGGGGAGGTGAGTATTCTGGCTTCTTAAGTTATTTCTTCTTTCTGTGCTATTGTCCATTAAATAACTTCTGAATTTCAATGTATATTTGAAGGTGGCGCAATTCCTGGTGGGCCTTGCAGAGCGTTCACCTCCAAATACATATCCCAGGCGGTAAGCGATTGTCAAGAATTCATTTATTACATGTCATGGAGAGTGCTACATTTCCCTGGTTGAAGCTCCAGATGTTTCCCCTTGGGTTACAGAAAATATTGCTGTGGAAATTTTTGTTTGATTGAATTGCGGTTTTGCTAGTTCTGAGAAAAATTACCATGTTTGCAGCCTTGCTTGAGAATGCTTCAGCAAGATTGCCAAAAGTTATTTTAGTTCTTCAGATATTCATCCACACAAACAGATGCCCTCATGCATACACATGTCCTACACTATTTCTAGTAATCATTTTTATTTTTGTATTAGATTCATTTGTTTAAAGGACACATAGAGTCATCTAAATCATTAGATGCATAGTTGTTGGACTGGCCTGGGCATATCCCATTAAAGGTCTTGGTCCATTGGTCACTGGCTTAACTGTGGGTTAATCAGTTGAGTTGAACCTTATTGATATATGCTTAAAAAAATGTTCTGCAAAAGTTAGCAAGAGTAATTAGTTTAGGTAACATGAATATACAGAAGTTAGATATGTGTTAAGACTGAGTCAGGCCTTTAACTCCGCTAAACTGAAATCAAACTAAAACTTTATTTCTTGCTGTTACTATAGTACTATATTTTAATTAATTTTGAATATGAACAATATGGATTGGCTTTGGGTTAATCTCTACCAAAACGGTTGGGTTCTGGTTTTGGTAATTCTAACTAGGCCTTTATTCAACTCATTTATAACCAAAATCTGGCCTGGTAATATTATCATGATAATGGAACAGAGAATAAATCACAGTTCATAGCTATGATGCGGGATGTTAGTATATGAATGACAGTTATCAACAATTGACCTTAATTTATTCAAGAACCTAAACATAATTAGTATTTTTTTATTTTACATTAGGAGCTTATCAATGGTTCTGATTACATTTTTTTGGTGCAGATTTATTTCCTTCTGCAGAGTGGGTACTGGACTTTCTGATGAGGAGCTTGATACTGTTGTAACCAAGTTAAAGCCGTATTTTAGGTACTTATTTGTGGTTGCTATCATGATGTTATTGCGAGAATCTTAATATAAACCTTCATTTAGATGGCCATAAGCAACCGCAAAAGCTCTAGTAATAACTTCTCCATTCATTATCACTCGCCTTGTAGTGTCAGACCCAAATCAGTTTGGCTGGCGATTTTTTTTTAGTTCAGTTTGTTGATTTCAAAACCCATCAGCTTGGCCCTATGTATAAATCATTAAGTAAAGCTTATTGAGTAAACATCGAGACCTAATTCTACGGAATGACATTCTGGGCTGGTCAACTGGAGTTTGACAAAAAAATTTGTGATGTGGGCCAAGAATTAAACAATATGGTGACAGAAGACATTGAAAAAATGAAAGCTTTTCAGGTGACATCATTTGAATTTTTAGGCATTTATATTTAATTTTTGGTACCTATATCATAGCGGAAATCTGCCTTGCAGGAAAAATGAGTACCCAAAGAAGGCACCACCAAGTTTTTATCAAGTTACAAATAACTCTAAAGAGAGGCCAGATGTTTGGATTGACAGCCCTGAAAAGTGAGCATCTTTTTTAGCAAAAGTACAATAAATATACTTATAAAATAATATTCTGCTGACACTCTTCCTTCCTACCACCTTCCCTGCCGCTCCCCCGTGATTCACAGGTCAATTATACTTTCTATAACCAGCGATATTCGAACAATAAGGTCTGAGGTATGGCTCTACAACCACAATGTTTGATACTTGTATCTATTTAACTATGAATAGTAACTAAATCGTAGGAGGCTTCATAGGCTTGCATTGTTTGCTTATGCAACTTGGTTGTTCAATAACTGTTTTAAGACCTTCCATTATTCACTGGTTCTATTTTCCTAGGTATTTGCTGCACCATACAGCTTGAGATTCCCACGTATTGATCGAGTGAGATATGACAAGCCTTGGTATGAGTGCCTTGATGTTCAATGTAAGTTTATGAAATATGCTTCTCATCATTTTTAATTCAATTCAACTTTTTTTTTTTGTCTCTTCAAATGCATGTGTGACTTCTTTCTTTTTGGTAAATTTAAATTATATCTAATTGTCAAGTGTTTCAGGTTTAATTACTTTTTAATTTTCCAATTGCAGCTTTTGTAGAGTTGGTACATTCAAGCAATGGTACCACACAGAGGGGAGCAGATTATGGAGTTGAGCAAAATAATAATAATAATAAAAGACGCAAGGAATCCTCAAAAAAAGGAGACAAAAAGAATGTTTCTATTGTTCCTAGTCACTTAATTCAGACTGATATTTCTGACATTAAGGGAGAGACTTTGATTTTTTCAAACATGATGTTTTGTATCCTTGGACTAATCTCATACTTTTTCTCTCCAATAAGTGCTGTATCCAAAATTTTATATCATAATGCCGAATGATTGGCCATATTTTTTGGGGTCACTCTACATTGTTGGGGGTGGGATACGCATAGAGAAAATGCACTTTTGCTTCACAAATTTTGAAAAATTAAACTGGTGTATTTTATTCTAGAGGGTTGTAGTAACATGAAGAAGCCACTGCACCTGGGACGTGTTCCTATAAGGGGTTAATGTGAAAAGTTGTAATTGCATCTTTGCTTCATACCTAAACAGTGATCTGGTTTAGCAGATTTCCCTAGGTATTCTATCGACCCAATGAAGCTACAACTTTAGGTTATAGCAGATTTTATGAGGTTTTGTATTGACCTGGTGAAGCCTTTCTTGTTTTGAACATATTGACCTGGTTACATGTTGATATTCTCATTCTTTTATAGTAGTTTGACAAGTCAGATGTATCAAAGTTGTTGTATTAAGCTGGCCTTGATCAAGATTATTAAATTCTTTGGGTTCTGCAGTATTGGATTTACCTTGACATGTATAGACTTTGTCAATGTGCCTCCAACCCATTCTCTGGATTCCTTGCACAAAATGGTGGCTGAAAATGGGGGCAAATTCTCAATGAATATGAATAGCTCAGTTACTCATTGTGTTGCAGCTGAAAGCAAAGGTCCAACCTCCCCTGCCCCCCCTCCTCTCTCTCTCTCTCTCTCTCTCTCACACACACACACACACACACACACACACACTACTTTTCTTGCAAGAAGATCCATCTGTAATAAAAAAATATTTTTTGCCAGGGCTCAAATTTAAGGCGGCAAAGCTTCATGGAGATATTATTCATTGCTTGTGGCTCTTTGATTGTTGTTCACAGAGAAAGCTCCTCCCTTTACAACCAAAGTTCGTTATTCCATCCTTAACCTGTCATTCCCCTGCTCTTGCACTGTTAATTGATACTACAGCAAATTTAATTTATTTATTTATTCTCCTGAAGGTACTTCCTCTTCCTTTCTGACTCTTCAAAGAAAAAGTTAGAAGAAGAAATTGATGAATTCTCTGACTCTTACTACTGGGATCTTGAAATTACAGAAATTCAACTGGTACGGTTATGCCAAATCATTGGTCACCGTTGTCTTTACTTGTAAAATGGGGCATTTACTGCTCATTTTTTGATTTCTTCTTATGGGAAAACTACCTTTCACTTACCAAGTAAGAGGAAATATAAAAAGTTTTAGGATCAGGAATATATGTAGGGGTGGATATGCTTATAGTGAACTTCTGGCAAATTTTATTTTTAATTAATTAATTTAATTTTGTTCCTTTGCAGCTCTTAAGCAACATAAATAGATCAGAAGATCCCAGAACTGTTGATTACTATAAGAAAAAATACTGTCCAAAGGATAAATGGTGTCGCTTTCATGGCTGCTGCATTTACTTCCACCATTCAATACAATCTTTGTAAGATCCTCGTTAATGTTTCTTCTACTCTCTTAGGAATGAAGCTGATTTGCTGCATGTGGGACTACGGATAGATATTTAATCATTTTCTTATGACTACATTAAGGAATTCGGATTCAAAATTTTTATTGGGACTTGCACTGAGGAGGATGAAGATTGAAGTGTCCATGGGTGGTGGTAAAGTCATCAGCAACCTTTCTAATGCTACCCATATTGTGGTCATGTCACTGTCGAGATCTGATGCTGACTTCGATACTATATTGAATAGGTAAGCAACGAGTCACCATACAATGAAAATGAATATCATAATTTCGATCCTTTATTATATAAAAAAAATAACGTAATTACTCATAGCTCCTGTTTGCAGAACTGATACCAATCATTGCAAGTTAAGAGAGTGTTATATGTGAACTTAATGGCTAACAATGTATAAAATGAATTCTTTAGGATTTGGGTTGTGGTCTGTCAAAGCTATTCATCAATTTGGGTTGAACTATATGTAATAAAATTGTACAAAACATTCTGTATGTTTAGCCCTTCCATCATAATTTTTTCTTTATTCACCGCAATTGCCAAGTGATCAACACAAGTACCATTTATTGTACCAGCCTACCAGGGTGGGAAGAGGTGGGGCGGTTCAGTTGTGTTATTCATGCATAGTTTTGACATAGGCCATCATGATAGCATTATAACAGATGTAGACTTGTATGGCAGAGAATATGTATAGTGAATAAAAATACATCTAAGTTTAAGCATGTAGTTTGTTTATTCTGTTTCTGTTACACTTGCCTATAATTTTCATCTTCAATTCTCCTCATTGACTTAGTTAATTATATTTATTTCATTGTCCAAGTGTTTGGATATTAAGTTTGTTTTGAAAATAAGAGTTTCACAATACAGAGAAATTTCCCCTTGTTTTTAAAACATAATTTCTGTTAAAATGATTAATAATAATCCAAGTTCCAACTCTTATGTTACTGCTGTTACTTATTATGAATTCATTTGTGATGAGAAGTTGTTATACATATTATCTTCTTCTTCTTCTTCTTTTCCTCATTCAGTTTCTCAGCAGATGAGCTACATTTTATACGCAACAAAAGGTTGCATGTTGTTGCTTCTCAATGGTTGGAAGATTGCCTTGATAATGAACAGAAATTGCAAGAGGAAACATATAGCTTGAAGCCTGATGGCTTTGAAGAGTCTGGTGACTGGTATGTGCAAACATGAACTTACATGAATGGTATTATGCAGCTGCATGCATGCTTTGAGATGCTAATTTCTTCAGTAGATTCACATTTCTGGCAAAGAAACTTTTGTAAAGTTCTTTACCCAAAAGAAAAAAAAAATTAATTAAAAAAAAATAATAATAATAAAAAAATATTTGTAAAGCTAATATACTACAAGCCATGGATTTGAATCTTAAAGGCTATGAAAATTGTGCAAGTAATACATAAGGAAATATATTAGCCATGGCTGGGCACTTGTGAATTGTGATACATTATAACAACTACACGAACAATCATACATAATAGTTAAGGACCTTAAGGTTAGGCTAGTGATGGAGATCAAAATTTATCTTGTACACCTGAGCCGCACATGAATCTATCCTATTCTTGGAAGAGGGGCAAGGACAGATCTATTCCAACACCCTTATCCCAGCCATTTGTCTCAACCAATTTTGTCGCATCAACTTCATGTACCCTGTCTTCCATCTGAAGTCCAACACAACCACTGGCAGGATAAACTCCGACCCGAAATGCAACCACATTGAGTACCACCCCATGGACACGTGCTAAAGAAAGAATCTGTGAGAATGGAGGGAGGCTGTCTGGTGAAAAGCTTAGAGGGGAAAAAAAAAGAAAAGAAAGGAAAACCTCAGGAATGGGGTATTTTTGTTTGCTTAAATTTCTGGAGAAGGTTAACATCACCTACCAGGTGGTACATTTAACATTCTTGAATATTATTGTTTATTTTTAGTAAACAATATGTAAATGATTTGAAGGTTAGTTTGTGCAAACTTTTTACCTTCGTTTTCTTCTTCAAATATGTAAAATCATAGAATAGAGCACTCTGTATATGAGAATTGGTCACATTTAGTTTGATAGGGATGTCAAAATTAATGTACCTCACTACCTATGGCTGATATCGGTCTTGGGCAGGACTCAATAATGCGCTGCAATAGAGTTTAAAAAAGAAAAGAAAAAATGGAAATAATAATAACACAATATCTGCGTGGGATATATACAAAAACCATATAACAATTTTAAAAATCACACAGGTGCTACCACTATAGTAACATTATATACCATTGAAATGACGAAACACACACTTACAAATATATGTATGTTTATATCTATATATTAAATATGTTGCAAGCCTGGTTGTTGCCCAGCTGATGGACCACAATGCAAAACATTAAAAATTGCTGTTATTAATCGAATATAGAAAATTTTAGAATCAAATTAATGCGTGAGCCTTAAATCCCATTAGAAATGTGTATGCACGCGCGAGATTATTCAACAAAATTGCTTTAGATGAATTTGTTTTGGTACAAGAATGCTGAATATATCCCATTTTTAAACAGTTGGTCCTTTCAGATTTGTTGTCTTAAACTCCCGCGTATGAGTTTTTGTTTATGGTTTGGTCATTAATCTGGGTTTTGATTTAAAGTTTCAATTAAATGCAGATTTCTTTTTTCACTCACAATGATAGAAAATTTGTGTAAGATTGGAAGTCATTCAGCTAACAAAAATTATATAGGACAGGCACTTCTTAAGAGAACAACATGGCCATTTTGAAAAAAAAGGAAATAAATAAAGAAAAAGAAAACTGTGCATGGCTGACAAGTCATGCTTGTAGCAGATATCTTTTAATACAGAAAAGGATATGGTTAGGCAAATAGTGTTATCATGGTGGAATTGTCATACATAAATTTGTTCAAAAATCATATTAGTGGTAGTATGCATAATTCTATTTGTTGAGCTTCATTTTTCTGAGATGCGGTTTTAAATGTAGTGATTCATGTAAATTAAGGAAAATTATAAAATTTTCTCATATAATATCAGGCGAAAATATAAATACTACTCCGTATATATAACTGCCGTGTCCCATTTCTGCATCCTTGCTTACATTGATCTTTTTTGTATCCTTGCTTACATTGACGAAAGATAAAAAATCTTGAAATTTGTTATATTGCAGTTGAACTTTGTGTGACATTAAAAACTTACCTACATGTGGATTACTAGTTTGGTATCTCTTATATTTGTTTAAATCAAAGAAAATGCAACTTCATTTAGCTAGTTTATGTTATTCTGTTTTCTTTTCTAGTAATCATGACTTCAGTCTAGAAAACTTCTCTAGCTTGGACAATGTAGAAAAGCAGTGTGTGTTATCTTCTCCACACAAAGATGGAATACAGAGAAAAAGCGAAGCTTCTTTAGATCACCCCCGAGTCTTGACTTTACCCCCGAGGGATGGAAATAGGAAAAGAGAAAGGCCCGCCACCACGACCACTAGTAAAGGGAAAATAGGTGTCATCCAACCTCGAAGGACACGGGCGCGGCTTGGAAACAAGCCTGCTAAAATACATGAAATTGAATCAGATACAAATGCTGCTTCAAATGAAGACACGGTTATGAAAGAGTCCGAAATGGGAGGACCAAATCATGGAAGCATTGGATTGATAGGTCAGGAGAGTACAGGAATCCGAGAGAAAGAGACAGTAGAAGATTCCGAGTCATTGCAAAGAGGCACGGCAGTTAACCAAAGAGGCATGGCAGTTAACCTAGAGGTTGCAGAAGATAGTGAACAGAAGGAATGGTTAGATAGAGCTCATGTAATTGAATCGGGCAGTGGATATAATGCCAAAGGCAGTGAGAGGCTTGAGAAGCTTGAAGTTATGGTTGATCCTGTCCAGGCCATGCTATTAGACATGATACCGAGCCTTGGGACACAGAAAGTTGAAACTAGCAATCCTTTTCTTGAAGATGAGAAGCCACCGGTAGATCCTGATGCAAAACCCGTAAAGAAAAAGAAAATCAGCTACAGGGATGTTGCAGACGAGCTGCTTAAGGATTGGTAACACTGTCACATTTCCTCAGATTAACTTTTTTCCATGACTTTTTTAGTTGTATATAAAACCATGTTGGAAGCAATGGATGAAACGGATCTGTTAGTATATGGCTCCATTCCTTTCTTGTACTGTACCATATCTATAGTAATGACAGATGTGGCAGTTAACTCATAATCTTTTGCTGTTGTAACTACTAACTGGAACATGTTGCATATCAGTTTGGAACTTTGTTATCTGAAGTGGTGTCCAAGTGTAGTTGTAAACCTAATGAATTCTATAATTGTCCAAAAAGTTATTTTATTTTTATTTTTATTTTTAATTTATTAAATTTGCTGCTGTTGATGGAAAAGTCACTAACCACCAAAATGAACTAAAGTTCACCTTTATATACATGTATATATTAGTTACATGTCATATATTGAGCACATTGACCTGTTCGTTGAGCGGTATTAACGCAGGAAAATTTTCGTAGAGGTTGAAGGTTCAAAGCACAAGGTTGAAAGTGTTATGATTCTTTTGCCATTTTTTTTTTTTTTTTTTTGAAAATTACTGTAATATGTATACGAAATTTTTTGTAAATGAGTTTTGCATTTTGGTGGAATTATGTAAAACTAATGAAAGTTATATATAGTCATTATTTGTGTGCTGCTACCCCTTACAGGTAAATTTAGTTGTAGCTATTCAGTTGGATGTCTTATGATACTGGTTTGTTCAAATCTATGAGGCAAAAATGTGAATAACATGGTATATCAATGAAAGTCATCTTTGGACAGCTACAAATTAATAAATGTGTCGAATGTATAAAGTTGTTTCTCAATTGGGAAAAAATTTTCCTAAGGACATTTGTGAACGCACTTTTCTTTCTTTTTCCAAATGTTCTGTTTTTTTTTTTTTTTTTGGGAAACAAACAAGAAATTAAAGTCATTCAGAAAAACTAACATGGAAGCAATCAGTTCAGTCTTTTCATCAACGTGATAATTACACAGCTTCCAAGAAACCTCCTAATTCATCCATCACACCCTAAAGAAGGGGTTCACATTCTCTTCTGTGCAATAATAATAATGTAGTGGACGTTATGATAAGTTACACGTTTAATTCTGTCACAAGGAGTTCAAATCGACGATTATAATCATTCACACGTGTAATTGTGTTATAACAAATTCGAATCCTCTGTAGTACAATACTAATGTAGTGAACGGCTACGATGATATTCACACGTATAGTTGTGTCACACCTATGAATAATTATAATCCTAAAAGTTCGAGTTAATAAGAATAAGATCAGGAGTTTGAATTTAAAATTAGGCAATTTTTTGTAAATTAGTGTGAAAATTAGGTAGTGTGCTTCTCTCTGCACTAGCATAGTAGTAGGACCAGCCATGAGTACTTAACCTTACGCATCAATTGTGTCCATCAAATATGTTCACGTTCTATTAGTGGGAGTTGAATTGAATGCAACTAAATTTATTAGCCAAAATGACAAAGCGGAAGTTAATAACTAAAATACCAAAAACTAGAATAATTCTAATCCGTTTAGAACACGAATACAAATATCAAAATATTTTAGTTTTACTGTCGGTGAAAACCATGATTTTGAGCCCTAAACCACCAAATTTGGCGCGCGCACAAAAAAAAAAAAAAGAAAAATTAAAAAGAAGAAGAAGAAGAAAAGCATGGGTCACTAAGTAAACTAGTAAATTTTGTTTATTAGGTTGGTTTTTATCATGAATGGATTTTTTCGGATCAAAATAATAAGGTCAAATCGAATTTTGAAAAAGCCAATAAACCTAGTGAATTTTGTTTATTATGTTGGTTTCATCAAGAATTGATTTTTTCGGATCGAAATAATATGGTCAAAGTGAATTTTGAAAAAGTCAATAAAATTGTCATACGTTACAAAAAAAGTCAATGCAATGATGAATGTTAGTCAACCTAATGATGAATGTTAACATGGTATCGACTCTCGATATAGAAAAGGTATTGTCAGGAGTTTGATTTATCTTAAATTTTTTGAGATAACTTTATAAGATTATAATTAGCTAGCCTAAGTTTTATTATTATTATTATTTTATTTTGATAAGTAGCTCGCCATAGCTAATTTGACATTATTATATATATATTAAAATGTAACGTTTTCACAACTGAAATCCTTTTGCCCATCTTATTTCCCTTTCAGCATGCCATTGGATTCTATACTGAATTTGAAAAATAAATAAATAAAAATTGAATATGAAAAATACTTAAATAAATAAAAATTGAATTTGAATTCTACAACTGTGTTTTGCACTTTCGGTATTTATTTGACGTGACATCTATTAGCATATCTAAGAACTTTCTTAGCCAAACAATTAAAAAATATATGTTTTTTTTTCCCATTAATGAACAATTTGAATAATATTCAACTTACAAATCTAAAGAAGTGTTAATTACGAAAAAACTCCTAAACTATGAACATTTTGCATATTACTCCTGAAAGCCGATTCTATCCAAAAATACCAACAGGTATCTTCATATGAAAACCGTCAGTGTGACGTGTGAGACTTTTTCAAAAAATTCCAAAACAGTTTGTTAGTTAAAGAGAGGGGGTAAGTGCAAAAAATACTCCTATTCTTTTAGAAAAGTGCAAATAACATCCCTATTATTCAAAAGATACTCCTGTAGTTTTAAAATAGTGCAAATAACTAAGAAAATTGGCATGTGTCGTGCATGTGACAAAAAATTGGCCTTTAATACTAAAATTACCCTTTTGCACTATCCAAAATACCCCTTTGAAAACATAGGGGGTTTTTTGCACACTTTTGAAAATACAGGTGGGTTTATTGAAAACATGAAAATAATTTTTTTATTTTGTTATTTTCTCCTATTTTGTATATATATTACTCATTATATTTATATTTCTCTCTCCTATTTATATTTTATCCCTCATTTCTATATATAATACTCACATTTCTATATATATAATTTTCTTTCTATAAATAATCTATATATAATACACACACATACATATATATATATATAATACTCATTATATTCATATTTCTATTATTTCTCTCCTATTTATATTTCTCCTATTTATATTATATCCCTCATTTCTATATATAATACTCATATTTATGTATTTTATTTATTTTTTCTTTCTCACTAAGGTTTTTCTTTTTATATTTGTATTCTTTATTTATTTTCTTCTCTCAATATGATATAATATAATATAATATTTCTTTTCTTATTTTTTTCTTTATTTACGAAATAATTAAGGATTGTAGCTTTCAATTATTTTCAAGAGTTAGGCATTATCTCAAAATGATTTTTGACTGATACCATGATAAAACATAATGAAAAAATAAGATTCGTTTAACTTTTTAAATAGTTAAAAAAAAAAAAATAATACTAATGATTTACTCCATTTGTATTAAAAAAAAATTTGTTATGGAAAAATTCTCGTTTTGGACTTATTTGTCGGAAATCAAATTTAACGTAGTTACGTTCATAATCTCGTAATATACTAACAAAAATCTTTCAAGAAAATTTGTGAAATCCAATTATTTGAAAATAATTTTTGGAGTGATATAAAATTTAAATACTTTTTGTAGTGATATAAAAGTTTGATATCTAAAATTGACACTTAATTTTTAGGAAACTGTCAAATCTAACTCATTTTCATGTCAAATAAAAAAAATTAAATCAAATAAGACTTAAATTTTTGTTCTAGTTTCACTCTTATCACACTTTATCCTCCAACAATTAAGAAAAATAATTGAACCAGAAAATTAATAAGTTAAAATGGTAGGAGACAAGTGCAATCATGCATCGTCACATCCGCGAAAGCGCACACACTTGAATCAAATTTGTCTCCAATTGCCCTTTCACCCCATTGTCCACTTTGTATTAGTGTAATTTTTTTTTTTTTTTTTTTTTTAAGGTAAAGCACTTTGTGTTAGTTTCTCTCTCTATATGTGTGTGTAAATGTGTGTGTTATTTGTGCATAGCAACTAGCAAGGAGCTGCCGCTGCTTGTTCTGGAAGAACAGAGTCAAGGTTAGTGTGAGGAAAAGAGATTCACAAGTGTGGACTATAGAGAGTGTGTGGGAAGTTTCAGTGTTCAGATTTAATTTTGGTCCAAGACTGCTCAATCTCAAAATCCCCAAAGACCCACAACAGAACACTCCCAACTCTACATCCAAATCGCTTCTCTGAGGCCAAAAGCCTCGATTCTCAACATGCGTCGCTGAAACCCTCAACAAAATTGTCCTGGAATTGTAGTTTGGCATAATAATATACCATGAACACCGCGAGTTAAGAGAGGAGAGAGAAATTCACCAAAAAAAACAATTAAAATTGAGAGAAATAAGATTTCGTTACCTAATATCTAAAACGACGCCGTTTAAAGGAGTGTATATTTGGGTAATTTCAACTTATAGCAAATTTTTAATATTATTGTATAAAGAATATTGGAGGGTGTTTTCGTATATTTACTTACCCTTCTGACAAAAAATCCTTATTTGTACTATTTTGAAATTACTTTTGAACAACAAAGGTGTTATTTGTACGCTTTTCAAAAAAAAAAATTGGGTGTTTAATTTTCCATAAATGTTTATACGTTGTTGTTTGTTTTTATCCGAATTGTATTATTATTGACAGATTGTATTACTGTTGACTTATAATTGAATTTGAAATCAACCCGAGCACATTGTACAGGTTAGGAGCAACTCGACAGCAAACTAGCATGCTGCTGGATTGATTTTAGCGTTCCAACAGGTGACTGAAAATGATTCTCTCTCTGTGACTAAATTTGTCCATTACCCGAAAAATACAAATTTTCATTTATTGGAATTTTCTTACAATACAAAACTACAGATTCTTCATCAAGGAAAACAAGAAGCTAAAAATTATCATTAAAAAGGGTAAAAAAATAATAGTAAGAACCTCAACACAATTACATGAGAGCTCATAATGAAAAATCATTTGATGGATCCAATTCTGGTGGTGATCATTAGATGCTCATAGGGCTTTCTGGATCATTTAGAGCTGCTATGGCATTTTCAATCTTTATCCTCAAATGATCTTTCTCCTCCTCATCAGCCTGAAGAAAAAGAAAAAAAAAAAAAAAAGAGGGTCAAATTTGGTATTCCTGAAAAAGTTAATTGTCAAACCTGTATTGAAACTTCAAACTTAAGATTTGCTTATACACAAATTTGTTTTTATGCATTTTATTTATGTTTACTACTACTATAATTGAGTAATTAAATTGGATTTTTTGGAAGCTAGTCTATTGGAATTAGTGTATCATTTAATGAACATGAATTATTTGAAAGCTAGAGTGCAAATGTCTTTTAAGTTTTAATGAAACAACTAATTCATCCCATCCAACAACAGTCAAATCATTAATCAAAATTTATATATCATAAACTAATTCCGTGCACAAAGTCGTACAAAACTTATTGTTATCTTACCATGAAGGCAATATTTTATACCCGTAACATTTCATAAATGTACTTTACTTTTTATAAATAAATTTGTGAAATTTTTTTTTTTTTTTTAAATTGATTCTCACGATGAAATCGAAAGTGATGTTCATAATTGCAGTGAATTAGTGATCGGCTTTATTAAAGTCTGTCTATTGGCTTTTACTTCATAGACCCCACAATCAGAGTCATTTTTGGATCACCCATGACCCCATCTATATATATATCTTCATATCAGCCACAAATTTCTCCAACTTTTGTTTAAAATATTTTCCAATATAAGATTCTTGTGCCAATTTAATAAACTTATTATTATAACTATCGCCTCTATTTAAATGACTGGAACGCTCTAATTCCCTCCCTCGAGTGATTAAAAAGAGTTCGAATAATTGACAGTACAATACGCGTACTGTATTGAATTGGGTATTCATATGTGTGAGTTATTCCAACCGTATGATACATTAAATTGGATATTCACACGTGTGAGTTATTCGGACCGTACCCTTACGAGATAAAATTCGCTAGAGGAGATACTAAAATAGGTGGTTGAGGCAATTTAATACTGGAGCCCTGCTACATATGAAGTGTCGGGCTTCGATGGGAAATGAAATCAATATGGTTATTATTAATATAACCTTGAACGATAGTATATATATATATATATATATATATGGATATATATATGTACAGAGAGAGAGTGACCTCAACGAATACTGTCTTCAAAAGTCTGCCAGAAAAAGCTGTGATGTTTGCTGTAATGATCCGTAGTTTCAGAGATTCAAAAACCTGGCACAGCTTCACCATGGTGTCTGTTCGTTTACTGCATGTGAGGCTCACTACAACTGTTTTTTCTCCCATATATGACACCCTTAGCTGTAATAAATCAATCAATTAATTAATTAGTAATGAATCACAAATAATAATAATAATAATAATAGTAAATTAAGTCAAATTATTTGATCAAATTCTAGAGAGAGAAAAAGTGACCCACTTCAAGAACTTCAATTGGCGATATCCTTGTACTCCCAGAATCATAGTTATGATCAACCCTTTTCTTCTTCAATCTCGTCAACGCCGGCATCTCACGATCAAAATCAAACACCAAATTGTTCTTCACGTTCCCGGATTCCAGTTCCGATATCTCTGATTGAATTCTCCTTTCTTGGTCATGCAATTCTTGGATATAATCTATTGCGTCTTTGATTATTGACGCCTTGTCCATCTAATTAATTTTCCATAAATACCATATAATCAAATTAATTAGTACTCACATCAAACTCAACAAAAAATAAATCAATAATTAGTCACACACAAAACAAAACAAAAATAAAATAAAATGAACACATGTCTAACGTTTATTATTATTATTTGCAGTACTAAAAGTCTAATAATTTATTGGCAGAGGACAAAAATTATGGTTTTTTTTTAATTGTTGATTGAATCACACACCTTGCTAATGTTGGGCACAACTGCTCTTAGAGCAAATAGCCTTTCATTGAGCTTCTTCCTTCTGTTTCGTTCCGACACAATGTTTTTAGACGCCGGTGACGACGACTGCGTTCCGTCCGGCGAGCTCGAATCGTAGTACGTGGAAAAGGGCTCATCCAAACCCCAGCTGATCAAATCAATCCAATTAGTTATTTAGACTTTATTCATTAACAAATTGCTTACATACATACATACATAAATATACACACACACACACACACATATACATATAATTATATACATACCTGTCGAATTCTTCACTATAGTGTAACATGTTTTCCCAGTAGTGTTCATCACATATGTTGTCCATTGTTTGTGTGTGTGTGTGTTGGGGTGTGTTTGTGGAGAGAGAAATGGGGTGTTTTGTGGAGGGAGTGCCGGGGGTTTTATAGGGGGGGAGAGGGGGACAGAGTGTGAATTAAAAGGGTAGTTTAGGGATTTGGACCACCAGGTGGGGGTTATCTGTATTTATTTTTGGTGCTGCCACTTGGAAGGATCACGTCCGTCTTATGAACAGTCTACCTTTTTTTTCGGAAATTTCCTACAAATTGTCTACTTGGCCGCGTGAATGTACATGATTTCAATGGACGAATCTTTTTCACGGCGCGTGTAGTTGACTCTCCTAATGGCATGTGGCTTTAAGACAACTGTACATACAACGTTGTCCAGTGGGACCTGCAGTTTTATTTTTCTTTAAATTCCTTTTGTTTTTTTTTGGTCTCTTTCTCTCTTGTTTCCTTCCTGTCCAAGGCCACATTATTCATAATTACAAATACAAATATGCAAATTTGGAAATGCAAGTATAGTACATAGAAAATTGTATTTCACTTAAAATAAAAACAGAAAAAAGAAAAAATCTCAAGTGCCCTCTAATTTTATTTTAAAATTTTCTACTTAAAGTGAAAAAAATAATCAAGTAAATAATGTCCGCCATAGTTAATTATGATAACAAAAAAATATCACGTGAAGTACACATGAATATATTTATGAATCTACAACATGGGGCGAAGACTTCGACTAAAGTCAATCAGCTGAAGTCTTTGGCTAGGCAAATGGTTTTGCATTCACATGATGCAAAGCGGTGAAATTTGAATTATGTGGATGTAAAGCGGTGAAATTCTATGTTTGAATTTTTCCAAGTTTATTGGCTACTTTTATACTTTACTGAATTTTTTTTTTTTTCAGTATGAGTAGCATTATTTTTTAATTTAATATGTATATTAAAAAGACATACTTTATGTCATATCACTCGAAATTTAGTTAAAAAATTTATTTAGAATATCCCCAAATAAATACATCCATATTAAGAATGTTTATGGATACATAAAATTCAATGTATTATTCGAATATATACGATCCAATTCTTTTCAAACTAAATAACGTTTAAATATAAGCCGTTACCTCTCTTTATTCCCATAAGAATATTTATATGGATCTGAATTCTTTGCCGTACCCTTTTTTTTTTTTTTTTTTTTTTTTTTTTTTTTTTTTTGAGATATTAAGTATTATGCAAAAGATGTAACGCTGTCGAAACGAAGATGCAATGTGATTAAATTGAAAATAAAATATCATTATTTTGGAGTGTAACGTCCTCAAAATAATGGTATTAAAAATTTAATTTAATGACATTTATTTTTAATTTAATATTTCTACATCTTCGATTTAATTATGTTACATTTAATTGTATTATATACCTACAACATAGTACAACATGAAATTGTGTGTTGATTAAAAAAAAAAAATGAGGACTATAATTGTTTAGTATATAACTTTCATGTCACTGCCCGATGAGTTAATTCATTAATCGATTTGTCCATTTTTTTTTCTTTTCTTGTTTTTCTTTGTTAAATTTGTTTGGTACTGTTTGAACTTTGAACGCTTGAAATTAGTGGATTCGCGTTGACTCATAATTTGAGTTGTCATTTTCTTTGACATTTATTTGGTTACTACTTGCTAACAAATCATAATAATTTTATTTCTAGAAACCAGAATTATTTTAGTGAATTGTGGCACCAAATTCAAGTTTGTATTCCTTCACGCAATGACAAAAAAATATATATATTATTCAATTTTGGATCTTTGCTCCACTATTTATTCTCTATGAAAATTAAAAACCACCGACCTTAATTTGTAATATGGAGCTGTATAGTCCACATTTTTTTTTTTTTTTTTTTTAGGAAAATGAAGCAAATTGTATAAATTTAAAATAGTTACATAGGAGGGCCATTAGGCCAATACAAAATAAACCCAGGAGGGAAACAAACCAACTCAAAAAAAGAGCAAACAGCCCAACAAGGAAAGCCCAACAAACAGCCCAACAAGGAAAGCTCAGCCAAGAACCAACTAATAACCGCAATTAACGGTTGATTAGCCGTTAAGTGAGGTTATTAGAAACAATCTGGTGAACCCTAGCTGAGGACGATGAGTGATCCTCATCATCCAAGAGAACTATCCGTCGGCCTTGGAGGAGGACGACAATGTGCAGGCAACAGATTCCAATCCCTGAGAATTTGTCTCGAGGATAGATTGTCTTCCAAAAACCCCAATTTGAGCAGAGCTGTGACTGTGAAGGTAATCTTTGCAAGAACCACTCTCTGTGATGATTTTTTCCTTTTGAATATCCTTTCATTTCGTTCTTCATAAGTATGGTAAATCATGGAGGAGAGACATACTTTCCTCAGCAGATTCTTGGGAGAATCCCTTTTCCAAAGGGTGCTTATGGAGAGGATCAAGTCCTCCCAATTTCTGATTGTAGTGTTGAATCTGCATTTGGATTTGATGAAACGCCATATTGGGGAGATGAAGCTGCAATTGAAGAATAAGTGCTGGTGTGATTCTTGGTGGCTTTCGCAGAGAGCACATATATTTTCATGGCGGGACATTGACTTACAGTCAAGAGTAGGGAGTCTGGATTGGACTGCAAGCCATAAGTTGAATTTCATCCTGGGTATTGATGGAGATCTCCATACCAAATTGTACCAATGGACTTCAGGAGAATGCTCTGCTAGATGACTTGCAGTGTATTTGAGGCTATAGGTGCCATTTGGTGAAGCAATCCAGAGTTTTTTTATCATTCCTTAAGGGACATGGAGAGGGAAGTGATAGTAACTCTGGAATGGCATTTGTGAGGCTAATGGGAAAGGACCAAGATAAATTCAAGATGAAGGTATTTACTGTGACTGTATCATTGAATCCCGCATCAATGAGAGTTCTAAATGGATATCTTGTGCTGAGAGGCCTTCCAGAGATCCAATTGTCCCACCAAAAGGAAGTAGCTAATCCATTCCCAATTTTGTGTTGGATGAGAAGCTTTGCAGGATGTCTGAGCTGTAGAATCTTCCTCCAGCTCCAAGAGTAAGGTTGAGGGATCTTGAGGGTCCAAAAATTCCTTGACTTAATGAGATGTGTGTTACACCAAGTGATCCACAGCCTGTTGTTATCATCTGTTGTAAATCCTAAATATACTTAAGGATGGCTGCTTTATTGGTGAGCTCTAAGTTTGGAATGCCCAGGCTACCTTCCTTTTTAGGTTTACATACCTTCCCCCAAGTTACTTTAGCTCTCCTTGACTTCATCTCTGGTCCAGACCAAAGGAATGATCGAAATATTTTGTTGAGCTCATTGATGACTACCTTTGGGAGGATGAATAAGCTTGACCAGTAGATTTGTGTTGACACCAAAACTACTTTAATGAGCTGAAGTCTTCCTGCATAGGATAGAGTCCTAGCTGACCAATGTGTGATTCTATTGGTGATCTTCTCTATAAGAATACTGCAGTGCTGTGCCTTAAGATTTGTAGAGATAAATGGAACTCCCAGGTACTTGACTGGGAGTGAGCCAGATGCAATGCCAAGCAAGGATGAGATTTGTTCTTCAATGTGAGGCTGAGTTCCCGAGAAGAAAACATTACTCTTGGAAAAATTGATATCAAGACCAGACATGCTGCAAAAATGATCCAATGCTGATTTCAAAATGGAGACAAAAGTAATATCTGCATGGCATAGGAGGAGGAGGTCATCAGCATAGGAAAAGTAGGTGATCTTCAAAGCTCCACATCTCCAGTGGTATTTATATGTATGGACTCTTCCCACATAGTCATTTATAATGCAAGACAAAGCATCTATTACAATCACAAAGAGAAAAGGGAAATAGGGTCCCCTTGTCTCAATCCCCTTTTACCTTTAAAGTAACCTTGGAATTCCCCATTTAGTGCAATGGTGAATGATGGTGTGGATATGCATGCCTGTATTAGAGTGATGAATTTGGGTGGAAAGTTGAAAAGAGAGAGACAGCTTAAAATGAAGTCCCACTTCACTGAATCAAAGGCTTTCCTTAAGTCAACCTTGATGGCACATCTTGCAGGGGAAGATTCCTTGTGATATCCTCTAAGCAGCTCATGAGCAAGTAGGATGGGGTCTGTAATCCTTCTTCCATGTATGAAGGTTGCTTGTGATCTGTTAATGAAATGTGGAAGTGTGGATTGCAATTTGATAGCAAGTAGCTTGGCAATACACTTGTAGACAGTGTTGCAACAGGAGATAGGTCGATAATCATGCATGGAGGACGGGTTGGGGCATTTTGGAACCAGTGCTATATAAGTGTTGTTGGCTTCAGTTAACATTTTCCCATTCCTGAAAAACTCATGGATTGCCTTAGTGACAGATCTGCCCACAATTCCCCAAGTTTTGTGAAAGAAGGAAGCACTGTATCCATCAGGTCCAGGGGCTTTCTCTTTGCTAAGCTTAAACATACAAGCTTGAATCTCCATAAGTGATGGAGTCTCATCTAGGATAGAGTGGAGATGAACATGGATCCTTTTGGTGATATGTTGCTTGAGATCATTAATGCAGTGAGTTATGGGAAGGGAACATCCAAGTAGATTTTGGAAATGAGCCACCACTTCAGCCTTGATTTCATCCATATCTGTGATCACTTGCCCAGTGTCTGTGGTGAGAGAGATAATTTTCTTTTTATTGTTCCTTGAAGAGAGAGATTTATGGAAGTAAGAAGAGTTATTGTCTCCCAATTTAAGCCAGGTCATCATTGATTTCCGCCTCAACATAGTCCACATTCCATATCGAGCAAGTGTTGTGACTCATCGTAATTGTCAAACCTCATCCAAATTATTATCAATTTGCACAGACAAATCAGCCTCATGAGTATATATAATCGGCCAGACACGTTTTCTTGGTTGCTCTTGTTATTTAGATAACCAAATAATGAACCATTGACTGCATCTTGATAAGGAGAATAATGTCTTTTGAAATCTCACTCGAAATTACAAGTACTCTTTTCTAATATACAAATGATTGATTACTAACCTGATCGTCCAAGTGTATTCGATTTGCACCAAATCGTTGTCCATCTCGA